TTCTGGTGGTATAATAGCGAGCCCGCTTGTTTCTAACATCCCGCACTCCTTTGTTGTCAGTCCCACTGCCGTTGTTTCACCTCACGGGGCGGTTGAAACCGGTTTGAACCGGTTCTTTCCAGTGGCCGCGGCCACCTCTCGTGGCGGGACGCGGCGCTCCCGCGCCCCTCGCGCACCACTCGCCGCCCCTCGTTTGGCGGGGCGCTGCGCGGGGGTGCCACTGTTGTGAGTAGTATAGGGGGATTAACCAAATACTATTTCAAAGAGGGAGCCGAATTTCACCGTTTCGCGCCCCCATGTTCATCCGGCCCGAACTTGTTAGGGCTGGACTTGATGGTGGGGGCTTCGATAAGGTGAAATGAGGTTCCCTCTGCGAAATGGTATTTGGTTAATCCCCCCTCTACTACTATACGAGAGCCTTGATAATTTCCTCCAGTCTGCTGTAAAATATATGCTGTACGGGATCGTTGCTCCAGACTGAACCACACACGGCAGTTCCATCGCCAATCTTCCTTGTCTCCATCTTATAAAGATAAGGAGAGCCTGCAATGGCTGAGATTATTCAACTCATTGCTATGCATCTTTTTGTTGTAGCTGAAGACATTGGCTTTTTCATTGCGTGTACGATTGCCATGTATCGATCAACAGACATAATAACGAGCGTGGAGATGGACAGCCCGATGGACACCAGTAATATGTAATAGACAAGTTTGCAGGAAATGTTTCCAACTAAACCAGGAATCCATTGTCGACCAACAAACAAAAGGAAACAGACACCGTGATAGCGAAACAGACATCAATAAGGTCTGCAATAGCCATGTTGATGATGAGCATGTTAAAGGTAGACTGTCTTAAATCTTTGTATGTCCTCATCAAATATATAACTGTAGCGTCCTCCACGCAAGCGGCGAACAATAAGGTAACGTAGGCGACAACTAAAATTGTGTTTGTGATGACGCCTGGGCTTAATATCCCGCACAGAATGGTATGAGAAAGGCCTTCTCCTGTGTCACTGGAATGATTCATATCTGCAAGTTGAATATGTTGCACATCAAATCTAACTCAGATATGAAGGACCCATTAAGATTTAAGTGAACTCCCAGTCCTCCGTAGGAAAAACGATGGCGAGTGGTACATTTACAGATTTTGACAGCACTCGACAAGTTCGGAGGAGTGACTTTCAAAATGGACTCGCCCGGTGTTATTTTCGCTCACCCAGGATGATGCCTCCCGGGCCCTCTCCTCCAAAAAAATCTCCGCGATGATTCACAAACCAAACGGATTTTTTGGTTCTGGTAATCATGCACGGAGGCCTAGTTCCTCGTTATCTTCAGTTTCGATTGAGAAGATATATCAAACAATGAAGACAGGGTTTGACAACGTTTCCAAACACCTCATGGCCAAAGTTCAAAAATTCAAAGTTCGCCTGAAAAATGATCGGATGCGCATCATATTTTCAACTCTCTTCTCGGTGTTTGGAATTGTGGTGATACAAACACGATCTTTCGTGTTTGATATATTACTCGGTTACTGAGTCAAAATATTATTCCCTCATTGATATAAAATATCTTGGCGTAGGCTCATCAAAAAAGTCGACCATTCAGCTAAACTGCTGTTTGTTTGTCAAGGTAATCGAAAGTCGTCATTCGCTCCTTGCGTGTTCATGCGGAGTCAAGTGTGAAATGCTTGGCTGGTTACCCTTGAAAGCATTTTTGTTATAAGAATACTGCAGGACTATGATTTGGAACCGCCCTCAGTTGTTGTGAAATTTGGGTATCCGTATAAGGTCAATAGAGACGAAATTAAAAAAATCATGCTGTTGCTGTCTAGCCGATAGCGACGAAGCGTATTTTCTGCCCTGGTAGATTATTTCTTGTTGTTAGATACATCTATTTTATGGATTGATTAATGGTCAGATCCGCAAATATGGTTTCAATCTAGAATTATGAAAACATTTTTTCAAAACGAAGAAAAAGATTCTAGATTATGGTGCTTACCCGTTTAGCCAGGATCTTGAGTGGTTTCTTCTGAAATATATTTTAACGAAAGCTAATTACTCTTTCTAAAGTAAAAAAAACAGCACCTGGTTTAATTAAAACCCGAAACGTAATTAAATGTATCTTGTCAAGTTGATTATCTCTAGAACAGAAACAACGGAGGGAAAAAGAAGCGAACAAAGTTTTTGCAACTTGTTTTAGGATGTTGGTTTGCAATTTTGAAGCGATGTAGAATCAATAATTGCTAGCTGTTTGCTACTTTGTCTTTTTTTTATGTAAATTTAAACGCTGGCAACCTGTCATTTTGGCTCGGCAATGATGTTTTTCTTATGACAGAATAAAAATTAAATTTCATTTTATCCAATCATCATGAGATTCTTCTAGAAGACAAAAATATGACGGAAATCATATCAGCGATGACAAGGACAGGAAGTAAAACATAACACGTTCCCAAGAATTAAACTATTCTTTTCGTCGTTCTTAAGGTGATTATATTCTGCCCTATAATACATTTAAAAACACCTGCTTGGGAGAGTCGTGTAAAATAAAAAAACAGACCAGACACACTCTTGAAAGTCATGTATACAGGTAAAGAAATGGCAAGGATGTCCGGAATATGTTCTGTGGTATACCAGTAAAGCCTTCCTTATCCAGAAAGAAGTTTGAAACTCCAACTATTTTCTGTCATTAGTTGTGTATGTAAACGATCTAAGAGACTCATAACACGTAAAAAAGCTGAACAAATGAAAACGTGTATGCTTTTCAAGAACTTTCCTAAAATTTAAAAGCAGTAAAAATTCAAATATTCAAGTGGCATTGTTTACCGTGAAAGAAACATGCAACCTTGCGTGTGTGTTTCACCGTAACCAAGGCGCTTGATTTTTTGAATTTTTACGGCTTTTGATTTTACGAAAAATTCACTTAAGATGACGAAAAGAATGCCTATCCGTTCTGCCTGCAAAATCAATACTCCACGGTCAGTTTTCTCTTTCTCCAAGTCAATCACACGGATTTTTTGACTGAGTACAGTCATTAAGTTGCCCCAAATTGTGTTTTGTTAGAGACCAATTTTTAAATCATTAAAGCTACGATAGCAGACATTAAAGCAACTCTGTGAAGTTTACAATTGTTTTCAAATTTCAGTTTCCCTGTTGTGCACTTAATAATGAGTTCAACAAGTCAATTGTTGGAGTGGGTTTTTTTTTATTTAGAGCGGTTTTCAATGGAGTTTCGTAAAATCAAAACCCAATTTATTACTATAGCCAATCACAAAGGACACAGACAATACAGTGAACCAATCAAACCTCGAAGTAATTACATGAAGCTGACGCAAAGCGCGGGAAAACGAGTGCGTGCGAGTCACGATTGATTTGGGTTCTACTTCTGATTGGATGAAAATATGGCGCGAGTTTTTTTAAGTGTTTTAAATGAAAACCGCCCTGTTCCTTAACTGATTTTAGTTGATTCTGTATCTAGTTACGTATCGTTTTTAGTTTACAGGATGGTTCGTCCCTATTTTAAAAAGGTAACCATATTTAACCAGTTTTCTTCTTGCATAAAGTAGATTAGTATCACCCAACTAGTGGACTAATGCAAATCCTGCATTTTAATTGGCTACGCTAGTAGAGGACTATTAGTAATAGTCCTCGAGTAGCGAAATTGGCGCAATCGAGCGTGACGCTCTCTTTCGTTTTATTCCCAAACAAATATTTCTTCAACTTGCATTTGCTAACTTTATTATTACCTTTTCTGTCCGACTAGTTGGGTGACCCGTAGCCCTTGCGGGCTGCGGGTCCAATTGTTAATTATTGTACATTGAACTCACTATCTCTTTTCTGATTGGCCGAAAGCGTACAGTGAATTTTCGAAATCAGCGCCTGCGACGTCGTACAACTGCAGATTCTACAATAATCATGCCAAGGACACTCAAGGTCACGGGTAATCATGTCATGTATGACCGCTGTGCATGATTTCTAAGGGTAATCATGTCGAGTTCGCGCGCTTTGTGTTGCTTGCCTTCAGTGAAGAAGCAAAAACATGACTTCCATTTTTTTCCCGCTGATAACCCCTACCTCGACCTTGATTATTCTGGATATCACAAAAACCTCATCCAATAATTGTTTATAATACATGTATGCATAACCGTAATGCCAGTCCACATACTGAAAGTACAAATTAATTGTAAGTAAACTTGCATGTATCGAGCTGGTGACTTTAAATGTATAATGATTAATATTGTTTATTGTATTTAAGGAGATTATACTCGCTAATTGTACTCGTTATTCTGATCTCTTACATACACAGCATCTAGACTCTGTAATTAGTTACCATTTTATTGTCTTAATGGTCAAGTGATATAGGATTTTGGTTCTACTACTGTTCAGTTAATTTTCCCAGTCATTCAATAAATGAGAAATCGTACGAAAGCTTGAGCAATTAAAGATTTTCGCTACTTTCGCTACTCCGTATATTAGTTAGATAGTTTTAGTTAGGTGTCCCCTATTAGCATTGGGGATTCTCCACTGCTAGATGTAATTGACACGATAATAAATTCATTTGCATTATTATTATTACTTGCGATATATGAAAAATCCATTGAATTGTACTCGCCTAAAGGATCGTTATGAGAGAATTGTTATATATCCGATCTCTCTTAGTGTAAATCATTGGTTGCACTCACATTCATATGATTACTTACACTAATTTTTTAAAAATTTATTGATTATTTTTGCTTAGATGTCCTTTAATCCCTGTCTCTTTAAAGCACCTACTTTGTTTCATTTCTTACATTTGGCTTCAAAGATGAAACGGCTCCTGGCATACTCTCTGTTTATGAACTTTAGGCTTGGATCTCCATGAACGCTTGGCCGGATAACTCAGATCTTTAAAACTTTGTGTCGAAGCTGAGGGTACTGACGTTAACAGATGACCGCGATTGCGCGATTTCTCTTGAGCCCGCCAGCTCAACATTTGTAAACAAACTTGGCTGGGATGAGGTGCTTAACTTTGGGTGCTTGAATGGGCTTCTCTTTCTTATATTGTGAAATATTGCTTTTGCTTCCCCACTCAAATTTTCACTGAAAGCGATAAACAACCAGGGATGGATGGCGGCATTGGCGTGTGCAAGCCAAAAGAACAACAGTCTGAGAGTTGAGGGAATGGTGAAATAGGCATCCACATAAAATTCCGACATTATGTGACTGACATGCACAGGGAGCCAACATAGTGCGAAAACAGCGACAGCGGTTATCAACATCTTGATCACTGCTCGACGTTTTCTCATCTGCTTAAGATAAGCTTCTTGATTAACAGCCCCTGGAGGTTTCTGTTTCCACAAGAAGTAGGAAATCAGCGAATACAGCACAGTCATGATGACTAGAGGCACAGCGTACGTGACGACAACTTTCACAATCATTTCAGCTTGGTTGAATATAGCGGAAATTTCTTCTGATTCGTGGTTCCAGTCAGGATAGCACAAGGCAACCTCACCATCTTCCTCGTCTACCGTGAACTTGTAAAGCTCCCCACTGAACATCAAACCAGCAAGCAGCCACAAGGCGATTATAGAACACACCACTGACTTGGATGAAAGGGGCCTCCTCCGAATGCACACAATAGCCAGGTATCGGTCAGCTGCAATAACGGTGAGCGTCCAGATGGAGACACAGATGGAGACGACCAAGAAGAACGGAATAACCTTGCAAAAGATCGTACCTGCAATCCCAGATAACCAGCAGTCTCCACACAAGACGGATGGCACAGAGAAAGTAGAGGCTGTTATCACGTCCAAGAGATCAGCGAGAGCCGTGTTGAAGAGAAGCCAGTTGAAAGGGTTCATGCGAATATTCGCGCGCGTGCGCACCAAATGTATGATGATCGAGTTACCCACGAAAGAGAACAGCAGAATTATGACGTAACCACCGATAACGCCGGTCTTGGTGACTTCATTAAGTTCCTCAATATCTTCGTCGCCAATGAGTTCTCCTTCATCAAGAGGGGCAGTTGAATTCTCAGTTTGGTTCATGATTTTCCCTTTTACGGCCTATAGAGAATCGAATTTACACAAATTAATTGACTCATATCAGTCATAGAAGCAACTTCTAAAATACCAGTTCCATACAAGAGAAAACTATCAACCTAACAGTCTATAATGTCTTAAAGGTATAGAAAACGTTCAAAATTTCAACCTTCTAGCTTCTTCTCCACTACCTGAAAACAACTTAATTGTGTCTGTAGTAAAGTTAAATTAATGAGAGAAATAAAGTAATAATTCCATTTTTATTACAACGATCATTTTCTGGCAATATCCGTTTGCTAGAAGCGCAGATATTTAATGAAAATAATAAAAGAAAGTTTATTGAAGTGTCAAACCATGTAGCCTGGGAGAAATCCTTACTAATAAGGGGATACAGACTAATACAAAATGCAAAACTGAGAAGATTACGATATCTACACTAAAATATGAATAACACAAAATGCAGTCTAGAATGTTTTTAAAGCATTAAAGGTAATATATCGATAGCTGATGTAATGTAAGTTAGATATAATGTGATCTAATGTTGAAGTTTTTATGCATTTTAGTTATCCCTTAAACTGCTTCAACCGCCTAGCCCTTCAGAGCTGGGCAGGGAAACTTAAGAAAAAACAACACAATGGTCCTAAAAGAGCATCTAAAATAAAAATCGGTTAAAATAATTCGCCATACAGCAGCGCACACGTTTGAAGCGTTAACTTCGAATTGACAGACCTGTAGCTCCGAACTGGCATTGTGCTAAAGTTAACTTCACTTTATTGGTTAATTATATAGCTGCATCAAAATCCAATATTGCCAACAGATCTGTTTTTTTATTACTTCTTGCCAACTGTTCAAATTAAAATAAATTGTAAAGTTTTTGCTCGAACGTTTAGTTTAGCTTTGAACAAACTGTCCAATTTGAGAAAAATCTGGATACTTTGCAGCAACCAATCAAATGTCAAGATAAATAAAAGAACCGAGTATTGGCCAATCAGGTTGCAGCTATTATCACTGCCATCAAACGTCAGCGAGCGATTGTAGCTCGCTAAGTTTTATTAGGTTTTGATAATGGCGGAATTTTCCGACTTTTCTCTCTACCTCTTTGACGTCTCAAACTTTGAAATGGATGTCTTCAGCTAGGTTTCCAGAGATAGATGCTACTGATTTACTCGAGATGAGGTAGAATAATCACGACTAGAACTCTCAACGAAGCTCAAAAACCTGGGTTAACGTGCTTGACCTGTGGCGTGCTGAGCGTAGCGAAGTGAGAAAGCTTGAGGAGACTCCCGAAGAAGAGCTTGGCGACGTTCTCTGCCGATTTTATGAAGAGATAAGACAGCAAAACGGAGATGAATACAAGCCAGATAGCCTTCCTGTTATGCAGGGCTCCTTAGACCGCCATCTAAAGAACAACGGCAAGAGTTACAGCATGCTACGAGACCGCAAAAATAATTGGATTCAAAAAATTCCAAGGACTGCCAAATTGGACGAGGCCTCGTCCAATTTGGCAGTCCTCGGAATTTTTCTCATCCAATTATTTCCAAATTGGACAGGATGTAGTCCTATTACATATACTAATTAATGATGTAGAATATCGCATTTTTCGTACTTCTATTTCAAGTCAACGTAGAGGTTGCAATATAATCCTTACTTTTATCAATTGACCTGAATTTAGCACTGCATGCTTAAATTAACTTATCTAGCTAGTTTGAATCATACGTGCAAGAACGTGACAAAAAGAAACTAATTGTGTAATGTGTCTTTTTCTGAGCTCGTTAATACATTCTAATTTATCAATTTATTTATTTTAAATTTATTCGCACGCCCAAAGGAAAACTATCACAATCAATTCATGCCCTGAGAGGGACACTGTCGCGGGCGCTAACGTCGTTCGCTTATGCACGAAACGAGCCTTGAACACCAACGCAGATACTTAGCGAGACTTTAAAGACAAAGCGTTTTGTAATTTTCGCAAGACACATGGGGCAGGAGAAAGTCAACCAGATATTTTCAATTTCAGGACAAAACCTTGAGCGTGCATGACTCTCGATAATTTCCCTCCAATAGGATCAATGAACCATATTGTAGTAATTCGTAACAAAACGTGGCCATTAGTTTAATTTTTCTATTGATGTCAACATTTTTTTAACTTCTGGCGTTTCGACATTACATGTCGGTTTTTTGGTACGTTTTTGACGTTTTATGAACACGATAGTGCTCCGTTAACATCAGGGAGCTCACTTCTTGATACGATTACGTGAAAAAGGTCATTGAAAGGTTTTGAACACATAAATAATACAAATAAAAATCATTGCTATGTAACTGGTGGCAATTCGACTTTTTTAAATTCATTTTTCCAATATGTAATATTGTCACGAGAACAGATGTTCCCGTGGCTCCATTCTACAAATTTTAGATTCCAAATCCTACAAGTTCGAACGAAGCTTCACGTAACTATTACCTTATTGTTTATCGCATACAGCTATGGAAATTCGCAATCAGCATCCACGATCGTAAGCTTTTTCGCTTTAAGAATATTTTAGCAACAATCTTTGAAATTTTTTGTCCTTAAAGAATGACTTACCTCGTTGCTTCGAGTTTCTGATTAAGGGCACGCGTGCAGTGATCATGCATCTAATAACTTTTGGCATAAAGGATTGCCGTAGTTATAAGCTCGGTTGGTCACTTTTGATTGATGCAAGGGTGGTCCAAACTTCCTGAATACAAAGAGGATGAAACGGTTTCCGTCCAGTTAACACGGCATGGCATTTTTATGAATTCCACTTAATGGATGTCGTTTAAGATATCGCCGATATTTCTCGACGTCAAAGCAAATAATTTGAATTTAAAGCCAAAACGAAAATGAAAATAATCCGGTTTAATTTACATGCATGTCGACGTACATTGGCCTCTGTTAATGTTATGATGTTCAGTTTTAAGTTGGATTTGCTACTGGTTATCGCGAAGTCTTTGAGAGTCTTGTGTTTTTTGCTTAACAACTATTCCCTTTTTTATCGCTGTACCGGAATAAACATAAATCGTGAAGTGCTCTTTTTATTTGGTAAACAGGAGTAAGTGCACGTTTGCATTAATTTTATTCTCTTTATATAATGTAAAGCCTGATTACCAAAATGTGATTTGTTTGTTCGTAAAAGCTGTAGCTTTGGTAGCATGTACGCATGTTTTGTAATGTATGGCCTATTTCTGACCAGTTACTGTTAAAAACCTTTAAGGGTAAATCATCAACTAGATCAGTTTTTAAATTAACAAGAAAGGAAAAGATGATATGAAACGATGGCAGGAATTTTTTAAGAGGTTTACGAAATGAACAAACGAATATACCGGCTTTTAATCGTTTTTATTGTATTTATATTATACCCCGTCGCTGTTCATATTGTTTTAATACTCCAAGACAAAATTTGTTGGTTAGGAACTGATTCAAAAAAATAATTTTTACAGAATGAAAATTAAACTGCCTACAAAAATATCCATGTATTACGTAACTTTGGCTAAAGAATGATTTACCACAAACAGTAATGTTTTTGGATGGCGCCCCATAGTTCAGTTTTCTCTCTCTCCCCGAAATCGACTATAACTGTCATCTTTTGTTTAAAAACCGTCAAAGGAAAATATGCAAAGATGCACGTTTATCACGCCGGGTTGTGTTCAATTATTGCACAGTCAAGAGCTACGTTTATCTAAGTTTATAAAGATTTGCAGTTTATTGAATGCTCTCAAGTGGTAAGCACCCGCAGGGGATATAGGAAAGGGGCGGATTTTCGGCTTCTTTTTATTAACAATTTACAGTAATACTAGTTCCTGTAAAATTTCCATGTCTTTGCTGTTAAGACCTACTTGTTTTAATAAACAGGATGCTAAAAAAGTAGAAACTATTGTTTAACGACTTCCTGTGCATTTTTCAGAGCAAGCATTGATAAATATTCAGAAATGTAATGGTCTTATAAACGCATCTTTTTTTAGAGATAATCAAAGAGAGGGAAAAGCGTTAATTTTCAGAAAGGATGATTACAACGAAGTTTCTCTCTAAGAATCGAGCATCGATCAGTTCATTCATTCAATCAATTTAGGTTTTATAACACGTCTAAATCAGAGTGAATATAAATACCCTTATAACGAGAAAAGTTACCTGTTCTACGGTAATTATTACTTATGAGGTCGTCTAAGCTTGAACATAAATGAAAGACTTAAAAAAAAACATATATACACATATATTAAAGGTAGAAGACTTAGATTGAAACGAGGAACTAATGGACTGGTTTTGAAGTGGGAGTCTGTTTCTCCCACAGAGAGTCTGACGTACATTTATTCATACTAAACACGCGCTTCTGGTGACTTTTTCTCGACGTCTTAGCTGACTAATCAGTCACAGAAAATATCACCTCACGCAAGCTTTCGTCATTAAAATTGCTTGATATGACTTCACGAAGTTGTAATAAGTAAACTAAGTAAAATTGATTGTACCGACTGAGCTATATTATATCGTACTCTGTAGAAACGTAACATGCTGCGTAAATATGTAATTGACGGTGTAATTTTGAATTATCGCTTGCTACGTTCTTTTTGAAAAGAAGTACAATACAATAAAGGTTTTTTCGTGATGCAAAAGAATAGATGATAATAGGTAAAAACAAAGCAAGGAAGAATAATCGGCGTCAACAAAACTAGAACAAACAGGCACTCTGAAAGGAAGTTAAGAGGTTATCCCTGTGTGAAAACTTCCTTGAAATTATAAACACGAATTTGAATGGGAACACATTCTAGCAACAACAATATAATAATAAGAAAGTAAAAATACAAATACAGGCATTTGCAAAATTAAAAATATATCTTAATACCGAAGTGAACTGCCTGCTTTCACAACAATAAAGTGTAGGTCGTTCATGACTTAATTATCCTGGTAAAGAAGGAATCATAATAGGGGTTTAACAACACAAAACTTATAAGAGTGTTTTTCTCCGAGTTTCGTAAATTCAGAATAGTCGTTTACTTGAGATGATGCAGATGCCTTTGTATCTATATAGTTGCACCATCAGTACGTCTCAGTTCCAATAGATAAGACTGAAGTTGGCTACTTAATACAATACAGCAATAGAAATATAGAGATCTATGTATCCAAAGTACAGTGAGCATGTAGGAAAACACGTATATTTAGCTTACCTTGGATGTCGGTCGCGTTAGTGTACATACATCACAACTTCACATATGATTTACACGTCTAAGTTTTGTTTATGCTACGTCACAAGTGAGTACCGGGCCTAACTTAATTAATTACATCCCGTGCATCTCAAAAGTACTTTTTTTAAAAAAAAATTTTCTTTCTACAAATGTTTGCAGCTACATTGATATAGTTATTTTCATTTTGCAAAAAATATTAGATTTTTGTACGTTTTGTGAAATTTTCTTATGATCTAAGAAACCGACTGAGAGCGTCTTAAACTGATTTCATAACAAATTCTCGTGGTCGTTCTAAGGTTACAGTAAATGACGATACGGCGACTTCTTGCTTGATCCATGTCATGTATTTTCCTTGCACCATCTACCATGCACTTATAAACGTAAGTAGTAATGTTCGACTCTATAAAAATTTACATATCAGACAGGTATCCAAATCCATACGCCCTTAAGGTTACCGTGTACCTTTAGGGAAGGATGTAGTGCCTCGCGATTATTACATCATAGATACCCTAAAACCTTTATTAAATTGAAACTTCTTGATCTGGCTATTCAAAATTTTGATAGGTTTTCCTGAAAAATGAATTCGACAATTTTCCTCCAAACGTAAACTGTAAATCATCTTTTTCAAGTTCCAATCCAACACGATTTTTAGATTTTTGGAATTTTATATTATTCTCGACGCAAGGAACCCAAAAGCTTAGAAAGCTTGTTGGGATTTCCCTTTGTTCGAGTGCATTAAAAAGTTATACAACATTTTCAAAATGGCTGTAACAAGTTACGGAGAGACCGCACAGAAATGTTTTACCTAAAAACATCTAAACATCTATTGGCTGGCAATAAAGACCAAACTTTTACTTCAGATAGAAAATGGCTGTGTCCATTTCTCGGTGAATGTTTACTCATTTTGAATTTTATTATTTTTTTGGTCTGAAAGCTCATAGTTGAAAGTTTGGTTTTAGGGAGAAAAGCGAAGATTCCACTTTTTAACAATTGATATAATATAAGTTTATTAAAACTACGGCTGTATGCGTGTATGCAAACGAAGACGTTCTTGATTTTCACCTCTGAAATTATACTAAAATAATTATTCGCCTCAGGCTCAGTGAATATGGGTAAATATTCACCAATGTTCACTTCGACCTCGGGGAATAATTGTCCTGATAATATTCTACACACGGAAACGTGACAAGTCATGGCTGGAGTATAGCCTCCTTTAAAACACCAATACGAGCCGAAGGTTTATCCCAACTGAAATCATAAACCTAAAGCTAGACCAGATAGCTCGAGTTGAGATTTCTCTTTAAATTGATATTTACAGGCTTAGCTATTAGTAAAGAAAAAACCCTGAATTTCAGTATCACATCTAGAGTGGAAAATTTCAGTGGAATTCAAGCCCTTTCACTTGAAGTCGATCTTCAATGCGCGTATGTGTCACTGCAACCAGAACAAATAACAAAGCGACTTCACATAAAATCATATCCTTGAATATAAGCGATTAGCTATGACGACCCTTGATGAAACGAGAAGGCGAACACTTCAACATCAAGGCTTTAATTATGGCTTTTTTTATACATGATACCGACGTGGATGCCCACTCCTCCCATAGATGTTCCCAAGGGCCGGTAGCCCAGCCAAACAAGAGTTAACTGTGAGCCTCTCAGGGTTTTGGGAACAAGGGAACATAATTATTTATTTAAGGGAATATGCTTTGATTTAATTTGAAGGAACAGTTGATATCTCCACCATTAACGGGAACATGGCGAAATATTTTAGGGAACAATGTTAGTACTGTTTTACTGAATGGGAACACGGGAGAAATTGTAAACATTTTAGGGGATCATGGGAACATTTCTTACGACGAACATTTTATAATATTATACAATTTATAATTTTATAATATCATACAATTTATGTAAGCAGAAAATCCCTTATTCCAAAGTATTTTTGCCGATGTTTTTCAATGCTGTGTAATAACTTTAAAACTAGAAGTAATCAAAGCTTATTGAGTGCGTTCGAGTTAATGCTGCCGAAGGAAAGGGAGATGCATACTGATGTTTAACCTAATCGACTAACCTTGTATTACGAGTGTCGTGCAGAGCAAGGTTGTTCCAAGAATGAAATGGATCGACGGTAACAGCAACAACAGAAACAAACTGTGTTTATTTATTTAAGTACTCAGACTACGTAGATTACAGCACTCAGCAGCTGTCCCAAAAGGTCAGACATTTTTGGCTTAATAGCCAACGAGGAAGGCTCACTTCGTGCAAATTGTTTTTGTTGTTGTTGTTGTTGTTCGCCACGAGATTCGCTTAAATATTGCCGCCAGCTATTCAACAAAGTAGCAGATTCTGAGAGACTAAACCCCGTTTAGTGCATTCTATGGAAGCCAGAAACAGCATCTGTGAAAAATAAGTCACTTAACAAGAAAATGGAGCGACGCAGCAACACTCGGCTGTAAGGGCTGCATCCTATGCTGCACATAATGCCCTTCAAGTCATTTATTTTTTTTATTGTATTAATATTAGTATTAGTATAGTTTTTTAGCAATGTCCCCTAATTAGTATGGTGTTTTTATTCCCAGGCTATAAGGTTTTTTGACACTTTAATAAAGTTCTCACTCACACTCACACTCACTCACACTCACTCACCTATGGAACGGCGAAACAACACTCAGACCAAGCAGCTGCACACGTACACAATGCGAATTAACATAAACAAAGTACCGTACCCGAGGAATGAGTCACGCAACTTGAAAAGTACGTCACTCACGAGGTGCACTATAGCACATGAGCATTACTTCTTTTCGCCTAGGTTACACGGGACACCGAAGAAGTCACAGGAACCTCCACAAATTAGGAAGCGTTCTCCTTAGGACGAACGCAGAAATACAAAATTGTGCATCAGCTTGTCGAGAGCGAAATATTTCCTTACCAAATTGAAGTCACTGTTTATTTTTAAAATGATACGACATTGAAGACCGCGTAGTTACCCGTATTTTTAATTGGTGTAGGAGTATATATGTTACAATGCACTTTATCGCAATTTCCTTTCTTTCCTTGAATAATTCTAAACTCTTTTATTTGATACACATTTTTCGCAGCAGAAACATCACAAACGTCCCTGAAAGCATTTTCACTTACAATTCATCCGAGCTAGTACATAAAGACTTCATATATGTGGTCAATAAGTCGAGAACTCGCTGCGCTACGGTTTCAACCATGCTCGCAAAATGCTGGATAATCTTAGCTTTGCAATTGATGCTTTTGCTGTATGAGTCATAACACGTGCTGTGTTTCCCCATATCTTTGCATATCTGATGATCCTTTGCCAGCAAAGTTACATAGTAGCGTATGCACTTCTTGTGCACTGTCACGGCACACTCTTCAAAACTGTCGAACTCTGTTAAAGAAATTAGAGCACTGTTAGAGCGGTTTTCAATTGAGTGTTGTAAAACCAAAACCAAAGTTATCTCTCTGGCCAATCACGAATGACACAGACAATTCAGTGAACCAATCTAAACTCGCAAGTAATTACATGTAGCTGACGAGAAGCGGGGAAAAAACGTATGCTAACGAGTCACAATTGGTTTTTTGGTCTTACTTCTGATTGGATGAAAAAGTGGCGCGAGCTTTTTAAGCCAGTCGTGTAGCTTAAAAGAGTGGAAAGTGCAAAACTAACACTCAAATGAAAACCGCTCTATTCATTTTTAGACTCAGTCGTTCGCTTGTTTATTTGTTTGTTGGTTAATAATAATAATAATAATAATAATAATAATAATAATAATAATAATAATAGTAACAGTAAAAACAATAATAATAATAATAATAATATTAATAACAACTTTAATTACGTGTGAACGAGATTTAGCATTGCTGCTAATTGGGGCCACCTAAAAAGAGTTTCAATTATCAGGACTATGTACAAATTAAATTTCTAAACATAATTATTTACAAGATAAAACCCTAGCTATCAAAATAAAAGTACGAAAGTGAATAACGTTACAAATAAAGTTAACTAAGACTGAAGAAAGTAGTCAAGTCAGCCAGTGATTTCTGCCAACTATGGTAGTCGAAGGTCTCTATGTAACAAGAAAGCAAAATCGAATGAAAAGGAAAAGTAATCTTACATACAGAATTCCAGGACACATTCTTTGCTCAACTAAATCATGGGAAAATTTTCAAATTCGGAGGCTTATTTGCAGAAGTTGAATTAGACCAAAATATATCACCATGATGTTTATGAAGTTATAAAGTGGGCATACAGGCGCTCCCCCAATTCGATGTCGATATTTTTAAATACATAATTATACAGATTTTTAGATACGCAAAACTGAAAACTTTAAGTAAATGAGCGACGACTCAAAATAATCTTATACTAGTACTTAGATATGCAGAATCGTTACAAACATTTACAGAAATTGCTGAACATTTATCTTACCAATATCGTCCAGGTTACGATGAGTTTTTGCAACATCTGTTGACAAGTAAAAGAGTGAGAAGACTTAACAAGGTCTAAAGATATTATCAGCTGAAAGTGTTCCCAAAAATAACTCCGAATGAAACAAATTGCTCCACTGGTCATGTACATGTATGTGTAAAACAAGGTTAGGAAAAGTACTTTTTTGTACGAAGTAAAAAACCCAAACTGAGAAACATATCTACAAGTTCTTTTTTTTTCCTGGAAGAACTGTCAAACACGTAATTTCTAGCTAATAGCTAGTGGAAAAGAAGAAATGTTATTTTAAGGGATACTAATTAAAGACGCTGCTGTTGATGCCGTCGTTTCGACTGTTATTGTTGTATTTTGGCTGTTTTGTTTACTGCAAATCAGAAAAAAAATGGGAAATGAAGTACTGTTGCCGTGTTGCTCTGTATAATCTTACACTATATGGTCATGAATATTCTTTTAATGCTGTACGCGAGAATAAAAAAAGATGAGAATTTTTTTTCTTTTGAATCAGTGACTATTTAAGTATACATAATTAATGTAAATATAATGTTACGTAAGTGTTCTTTGTATTGTCGAAAGGAATAGTGGTCATTAACAATTCTCTACAGAATTGTCCTTTTATCCATCTAAAAATTATTCATTCATATACACACCAATATTTGAAAATCTGAAGGTAAGAATTCTCGAGAGTAACATCGCATGGTCTAAAATGGGGCAACAAACCGCCCGAGCTAAAAAGGTCTATTAACGAAAAATATGTTAAAAGATAACAACTAATATCAAGTTATATATACCTGTTCGAAAATCACGACTTGTAAACTGATGATCATGACTTATACAGACTATATCAGTGTATATATTTCAGACAAAATTTCAAACCTGAATCTTGTACAACACTCTTCAGTGTACTGTAATCAATGTCCGTGCAGGTTCCTAAGATGCTATCCATCATTGCAATTTGTAACACCCAGTAACGCAACTTTTCAATCAGTTCACCTCCACATTTGGGTTCACTGGCAACACATGTGGCCAATTTCTGGAAGAGAAACGTAACTAGACTGTGATGAGGAAATATAAACGATGCGAATGATATAAAACATAGTTGACATCTGCCATCTAATTATTTCCAAGATGAAGTAGAGTCCAAGAGATTAATAAATACTTACAAGCATCTTGAGAAACCAACCAAAATTTTCAGTGCATTGCAATAACTAATGGTCTTAATCTGAGATATTTAGGGCCTACGATTGAAAATGTTTAGGGTGGGCATAGTTAGTAGAGGGGACTGGTTATGAAACCCGGTAAACTTCAAAGGGCGAAACAATAGCGTATTCTCCGAGGTTAAAATGACCCGTCACGTGATTCTGACCGTGCACACGTCAAAACAACATGGCGGACACATTGGACGACCTTTTCCAGTTTGGTGATAATTTCGAAGCAATTTTAGCCCTTTTAGAAATTCGATGAAGCAATCGATAAGCAATTTTCAGCAACAGTTGGCGATGCAAGTACAATATCTGTGAAATTTGATTTGAGTCTCCCCTGGAGCGATCGAAAAGAGCCAAGAGACTGTATGGTTCAACATGTGGTTCACAAACACAACACACTGAGTAAGGAAGCTAGGCCAAACTTGATCCTTCCGAGATATTATCGAGCTAGATAACAAAACCAGACGAAAACGCTTGAAACTAAGCTTAAAGGTGGACTATGGTGTGAACGGGAACGGGCTACTCTAACACTTAATGTTCTTGCTGAAATAGTGCACAACGCGATACAAAACGTGAACGAAGCCGCGGCTTTCGCCTCAAGCCTGAGGAATGAGTTGAACTTGTACAGATACGAAACACCTTATGAAGGGACTGAAGAATTCTCTGTGCTGAAAACAATGTTTGAAGGATATTTGAAAAATGGAGATACTTAGAAGATTTTTCTGAAGTATTATGCACAAGTTCCGTTGAACTCTACAGAGTTCTTTACAGGATTATCCCGAAATGCTGCAACATTATTAGCAACTAAGGTGGCTGATAGTTTGCAGCATATTGCAAGCGTATGAAGTTCTCCACTAACAGCAACATTGATCAGAGAAAGAGATGGCTGGTCTTCAGTGTGTGGGAGGTTATGTATTGCACAATCTGAACAAGGGACATGCAAAAGCAGCAGCAACCGAAAGCCAGCAGGCTATGGCTATCGTGAAAGCTGGAAAATTGGAAGCTGAGTGTGACTTGGTGTCAAGTCTGAGCCGTGGACGTCTTTGGTATATAATTGAGCCATTTTCATCAAAACAGAACATTATTTTAGACACTTAATTCCATGTTTAGTTTGCGAAGGATATATGTCCACATACATTTCTGCACATGCATTGACCTGTGCTGTCTTCTCTGAAAATCTATTTACATATTGTATGCAGAAAGATAACTCCCAAAACTGAGACCCACCTTCAATATGTATACCTTAAATTATGACTGACATTTAAAAACGTTTTCTCTGGACAAAACTATTTACTAGTAGCTAGAGAATGGGATAATACTTACGGAAGGACCGTGATTCTAATATATATACGCTGTAGATGGAGAGTGGATGGAAAGTTTTTATCTTCAAACAACTCTTTCTGTTTTTTTCCTTTGTGGGTACTGTTCTAACTTTTCTCCCAGAAAATCCAAACATTTTTCAGCACCTCATCCCATGTTTAAAAAAAAATTTGAAGCTTTTCTGCTCGCGCAGACAAAATTGTCTCAAAATTTTCCTCTCTCCCTGCAAAAAATAATGGTCTATCTCTTATATCTTCCACTACCATTGATAGCATCTCAAGCAATGTTCCCTGGAATTTAAAGTAAGAATTAATTAAGTTTCCTTTTTCTCCTGCATGGTAATTTAGTATCAGTGACCTGATCCCATGCTTTGGGTTTGTCCTTTCTACCCCAGGTGTTGCCACTCTGACACGACACTGTCCTCTAACTATGGGGCAGGGAAGCAAAAATTTGCCTCAAAGAATGTTCCATTGCAAGCAAAAGTTTAAGTGTTCTCTGGCTGGTATCGACCAACCGTGACCGCCCAACGAATCAAAGTTACCCAATAATAAACATAGGCGACATTGCCTTAATAGAGATCAAGCTGGCTCAAGCTGTCGCCAAACCATGAATCTGGTCGTCGTAATATTTTGGAGATATTCGTGCATGCAGTTGTTTAGTATGCTGAAATATTTGACGGATAAGTCCTTTTTGTTCAGTTTTTGTTTTTAATTCTCGTGACTTTTGTGCTGTAAAGTGAAGAAAACAGTGAATCAATCAATCAATCAATCTTTATTTAAACACGAAAATCATTTTTATCTATCTTCAAACAGCTGGCTAATTCATGGATAATTCTTATCCATGAAAGATACTCATCAAATAATGGCTATCTTTCATGGAACCTTAAAGTGCCTATGAAGTAAAAATTAATTGCTGCTTTCTTTCAAAGGCTTTTCAAAGTAAAGAAGAATCGCGTTTTCCTTTTTGGAATATCGTTTTTCGTTTTGGAGATATTCACGTTTTTGTATTATGCAAATGAGGAAAGTGATAATGTCATCGGTGGTTCCACTAAAACAGCACAACACTCAATCGAGAATAACTCTAGAAATATTAAAGCAGTATTCTTCAAACCTGCACCAGCAGTGTACATCACAAAAGAACAGAAAAGCACCTACTATGTTCTTGCCATGGCAACACTCTTGGCTCCAGTCTCTTTCTGTGAAAAACCAAATATCCCCATTTGCAACCTTTCAAAGTGGGACAGAGGGTCTTGCTCAGAACACACATGGTTCCCATATTGTCCTAACTCTTCCCATTAGATTGTTGGGAGTGGGTGATCCTTGTTTAAGATAAAATCTGGGAATTTTAGTCTTAATTAAAACAGAACCAGAAGCATAACTGTTGTCATGGCAACGGCATGACGGATGTTATTTTGTTCCTTTTGTGATGTACATTTCTGGTGCCAAGTTCAAGGAACGCTGCCATTATTCTTTACTTTGAAAAGCCTTTCAAATAGGCAGCAATTATTTTTTACTTCATAGGCACTTTAACCTTTTTTCTCGTCATACCTGCATCCTGAAGCAGTGGCCCTCTTCGCCTATGGAAGTAGCATCTAGAGCATCTTGGTAAACTGCTTTGCAACGGTTCAGCAAAGCAATATGGCATTGACCCGCCATTGCAGTTGCGAAAACAACTGACACGAAGAACAAACTGTAAGCTGTTGAGCTATATCTAGCCATTTTGCTATATCTAGCCATTTTGAAATTAAAAACCTCTCAATCGGGGTCTAGTAAGAAAGGGAAAAAAAGTACAACAAAATTATCTAAGAAGTAAATATCCGAGAGTAAAGTTTCGTGTTGGTTAAACGAAGACTCCATTTCTAAATGAGAAGAGGATACCTTATTAACCTGAGTTAAGTCCGGGGCTTGACCGAAAATTAGTTCAGTGCTCCAAGAACTTAGTGTCTTTCAGAGATGGCACTGAGGATAACGTAATTGCTTTACTCGACAACTTTCAAATTCTCAAATGGCAATTACAGCTAGTGAATAATTGTTGGAATAGATGTGACAAGCAATGTTTGAGAACTAAACACAAACTTGAACTGGTTATCTGATTTGATAACAACTGGCGATTGTGCGCGCCAATTGCAACTTGACACCGTGAACAATCAGCAAAAAATTAGTTATAAAAACCTCTCAAAGTCCATGGTTTACTCTTTTCGTGTACGTTGTTTTCCTCCTTTATATTTTAAAGAAAAAAGAAACGAAATGTGTTTGCAATTTAATTATAATGTGTTCTTCTGGCCGGGTTTCATTTATCCCGATTTCATCTCGCTTATTTTGCATGCTAATTTTTTCGACACCTGATAAATATTTCGATAGAGCTTTGTAATGGTAATTTTATATTTATTGAAGCGCTACATATACCATAATGTTTTAAATAAATCTTAATAGTAATTTATCATTAATAAAAGATGAAATATCCATCTCTAAATTATGGAAAATTTCGCGCTGCGGCGAAAGAAAAATAAACGTTTCGATTAGATTTTAACGGAGGAATGATCAATAATCAAAGAGAAAAAGTTTCGTTGAAAATATTTCAACTTTAATTAAGGGCATTGGTTAAAACAGTGCCACATCCTCAAATTACATGCCAAATTTATCATTTAACAATGTTATCATACATTGATAGCTTGGAATATACCAAGTTTTCTAACGCCACACATACGTAACGTAAACCCACGTTTCTACCTTTACCGTTTTTTTATTTTTCGTTTTCTCTAGCAATGCATACACATGGCGCTTAGCATTCCCCGCAAAAATAGCAAACGTTTGCGCGCCTGAACAACTACATTGTACTTGTGTTTGAATAGAAAGGCAACATGTTGCGAAACTGTACGAAACAATAGCTTCTAAGAAACTGCTTTATAAAAAAGAAAAGTCAAAAGCTGAAGTAGCGGTTTTTAAATTTGCTGTGAGACCATTCACAGTCATTTCCAGATTCTTACAGGAAAATCCTTCGTTGCCTCTCAGATCAGCTTCTAAAGTCAACTTGCCTGACACAAGGTGATGCCACGTATTAATGCTGATATTAATATTGTGTGTCGTACCGAACTACCAAATGACAGAATGATCCCTAAGGCGATAAAAATTTCCATTTTTATTGTATTCCTATGTCAACTGATCTTAAAATCGATAATATGCGTTTGTCAGAACAAATCACTTAAAAGGCTATCGCCCAACCGTGGTCAGGAGAACCTAATGCAAAAGCCCAACCGGCTGATGATATAAGGACGGGCTGAAAGAACAATCAAGTTTGTTTCTTTGTTCAACAGTACTACAACGTCAACAAAGTATTTGTAGACTTTCCAAACTTTCGGCTGGATTATGACCTACTTCTTCTAATTTTTCTTCATTTTGTTTCCTCCAGGCCAGTGTTCACTATAAAGGATTTTCTGCAGGTGTTTTTGTTGTTGCTCTCCCCAGTGTCTCTCCCCACCCAGTGCCTCTATCCACCCAGGCGAACTTAATGCTGGGGGTAACCCTGCGATGGACTAGCATCCCATCCAGGGGGAGTAGAAATACCCCTAGTCGCTTCATGCTACTGAAACCGGGATAAGCACCGGCCTGATGGGCCACTTTGCTCGTATGCAGACTTTACCTACCTTACATGATTGACTAATCAGGTGGTACTATCATTCGAGTCCAGATTCTTACCTGTATCGCCCTTTTGGCTGCTGAATTCTGGCTGGCCGTGTTGAGTGTGGCTTTGAACGATAACTTCTACAATACCCAAATATTGGGTACCCAATTGGGTACCCCAAGTACCCAATTTTCGACCGAAAGGAAAAGCAAGTTCCTTTGTCTCTTTAACATGTTAATAATAACTGAGTTTATCTGAAACGTGGCATAAGGGTCGTCAGCTTTGGACCGCATCTGCTGTCTTTTAATATTCTCACTTTTATTTAAATATAGATGCTCTAGTTTCGTGCATGAATTATTATTATTCAAACCAACGGCTGCGTTGACCAGAGTAGCTGGAATATTGCTCACTCTTTTCCCTACCTGGCACATGAAATACAAGTGACTAGTCATGACTGTCGTATAGCCTCCTTTAAAACACTTATACGAACAAGGGAACATGATCATTCATATATCCAAAAGGAACAGGGAATTTGTTTTGATTTAATTTAAAGGAACAGGTGATATATATCTCTACCATTAACGGGAGCGTGGCGAAACATACTAAGGAACAATGTTAATAATTTATTAACGGGAACACGGGAGAAAATGAAAACATTTTAAGGGATCGAGAGAACATTTTTTACTAAGAACATTTTTCCTCTCGCCCCCCTTTCCCCGCTTTACTCCTCATACCGATTTCACCTTAGGAGATCCTCTGATCTGACAAGAGTTTAAAAACTCATGATGTTAGAAATAATATATGGGCTCATTAGCGGTTTTGCCAACCAGAAATTAATGTTTTGGTTTTGAAAGTCAGTATCTCCTTCAGTATTACTTCCAAAACGGGCCAGAACATTCCCCAATTACTTAACTTTACAAGCTCTTTATAATTATATGGTCGATCGGCGCAATTTGCATCTAAGCTGTATGCGAAGGAGGTAAAAGTAAACAATTCCGTCACCAAAAATATATTTAATAGTATTTTTGCTCATTTTCTTCCATGCCGTCTAATAACCTTAAAACAATGCCAAATTGCGTATCAGTTTGCCGAGAGCGATAAATTTTCGCGCCAAATGTTTACTCATAAAATAATGCGACATTCAAGACCACGCCGTTGTACTTAAGAATTTTCGGCATTTTTTAGTCGTGTAGGGGTAATTATATGTTGTAAGGCACTTTATCGCAACTTCCTTTCTTTTATTGAATGATTCGAAATTCTGATTTTTTATTAGATACACATTTTTCGTAGCGAATTCGTTCACAGAAACATCATAAACGTCCCTGAAAGCATTTTCACTTACAACTCATCCGAGCTAGTACATAATGATTTCATATATGTGTTCAATAAGGGGAGAACTCTCTGCGCTACGTTTTCAACCATGCTCGCAAAATGCTGGATAATCTTAGCTTTGCAGTTGATGCTGCTGCTGTATAAGTCATAACACGTGTTAACTTTCCCAGCATCTTCGCATATCTGATGATCCTTTGCCAGCAAAGTTACATAGTAGCGTACGCACTTCTTGTGCACTGTCACGGCACACTCTTCAAAACTGTCGAACTCTGTTAAAGAAATTAGAACACTGTTAGAGCGGTTTTCAATTGACTGTCGTAAAACCAAAACCAAAGTAATCACTCTGGCCAATCAAGGAGGACNTTGCCATGGCAACACTCTTGGCTCCAGTCTCTTTCTGTGAAAAACCAAATATCCCCATTTGCAACCTTTCAAAGTGGGACAGAGGGTCTTGCTCAGAACACACATGGTTCCCATATTGTCCTAACTCTTCCCATTAGATTGTTGGGAGTGGGTGATCCTTGTTTAAGATAAAATCTGGGAATTTTAGTCTTAATTAAAACAGAACCAGAAGCATAACTGTTGTCATGGCAACGGCATGACGGATGTTATTTTGTTCCTTTTGTGATGTACATTTCTGGTGCCAAGTTCAAGGAACGCTGCCATTATTCTTTACTTTGAAAAGCCTTTCAAATAGGCAGCAATTATTTTTTACTTCATAGGCACTTTAACCTTTTTTCTCGTCATACCTGCATCCTGAAGCAGTGGCCCTCTTCGCCTATGGAAGTAGCATCTAGAGCATCTTGGTAAACTGCTTTGCAACGGTTCAGCAAAGCAATATGGCATTGACCCGCCATTGCAGTTGCGAAAACAACTGACACGAAGAACAAACTGTAAGCTGTTGAGCTATATCTAGCCATTTTGCTATATCTAGCCATTTTGAAATTAAAAACCTCTCAATCGGGGTCTAGTAAGAAAGGGAAAAAAAGTACAACAAAATTATCTAAGAAGTAAATATCCGAGAGTAAAGTTTCGTGTTGGTTAAACGAAGACTCCATTTCTAAATGAGAAGAGGATACCTTATTAACCTGAGTTAAGTCCGGGGCTTGACCGAAAATTAGTTCAGTGCTCCAAGAACTTAGTGTCTTTCAGAGATGGCACTGAGGATAACGTAATTGCTTTACTCGACAACTTTCAAATTCTCAAATGGCAATTACAGCTAGTGAATAATTGTTGGAATAGATGTGACAAGCAATGTTTGAGAACTAAACACAAACTTGAACTGGTTATCTGATTTGATAACAACTGGCGATTGTGCGCGCCAATTGCAACTTGACACCGTGAACAATCAGCAAAAAATTAGTTATAAAAACCTCTCAAAGTCCATGGTTTACTCTTTTCGTGTACGTTGTTTTCCTCCTTTATATTTTAAAGAAAAAAGAAACGAAATGTGTTTGCAATTTAATTATAATGTGTTCTTCTGGCCGGGTTTCATTTATCCCGATTTCATCTCGCTTATTTTGCATGCTAATTTTTTCGACACCTGATAAATATTTCGATAGAGCTTTGTAATGGTAATTTTATATTTATTGAAGCGCTACATATACCATAATGTTTTAAATAAATCTTAATAGTAATTTATCATTAATAAAAGATGAAATATCCATCTCTAAATTATGGAAAATTTCGCGCTGCGGCGAAAGAAAAATAAACGTTTCGATTAGATTTTAACGGAGGAATGATCAATAATCAAAGAGAAAAAGTTTCGTTGAAAATATTTCAACTTTAATTAAGGGCATTGGTTAAAACAGTGCCACATCCTCAAATTACATGCCAAATTTATCATTTAACAATGTTATCATACATTGATAGCTTGGAATATACCAAGTTTTCTAACGCCACACATACGTAACGTAAACCCACGTTTCTACCTTTACCGTTTTTTTATTTTTCGTTTTCTCTAGCAATGCATACACATGGCGCTTAGCATTCCCCGCAAAAATAGCAAACGTTTGCGCGCCTGAACAACTACATTGTACTTGTGTTTGAATAGAAAGGCAACATGTTGCGAAACTGTACGAAACAATAGCTTCTAAGAAACTGCTTTATAAAAAAGAAAAGTCAAAAGCTGAAGTAGCGGTTTTTAAATTTGCTGTGAGACCATTCACAGTCATTTCCAGATTCTTACAGGAAAATCCTTCGTTGCCTCTCAGATCAGCTTCTAAAGTCAACTTGCCTGACACAAGGTGATGCCACGTATTAATGCTGATATTAATATTGTGTGTCGTACCGAACTACCAAATGACAGAATGATCCCTAAGGCGATAAAAATTTCCATTTTTATTGTATTCCTATGTCAACTGATCTTAAAATCGATAATATGCGTTTGTCAGAACAAATCACTTAAAAGGCTATCGCCCAACCGTGGTCAGGAGAACCTAATGCAAAAGCCCAACCGGCTGATGATATAAGGACGGGCTGAAAGAACAATCAAGTTTGTTTCTTTGTTCAACAGTACTACAACGTCAACAAAGTATTTGTAGACTTTCCAAACTTTGGGCTGGATTATGACCTACTTCTTCTAATTTTTCTTCATTTTGTTTCCTCCAGGCCAGTGTTCACTATAAAGGATTTTCTGCAGGTGTTTTTGTTGTTGCTCTCCCCAGTGTCTCTCCCCACCCAGTGCCTCTATCCACCCAGGCGAACTTAATGCTGGGGGTAACCCTGCGATGGACTAGCATCCCATCCAGGGGGAGTAGAAATACCCCTAGTCGCTTCATGCTACTGAAACCGGGATAAGCACCGGCCTGATGGGCCACTTTGCTCGTATGCAGACTTTACCTACCTTACATGATTGACTAATCAGGTGGTACTATCATTCGAGTCCAGATTCTTACCTGTATCGCCCTTTTGGCTGCTGAATTCTGGCTGGCCGTGTTGAGTGTGGCTTTGAACGATAACTTCTACAATACCCAAATATTGGGTACCCAATTGGGTACCCCAAGTACCCAATTTTCGACCGAAAGGAAAAGCAAGTTCCTTTGTCTCTTTAACATGTTAATAATAACTGAGTTTATCTGAAACGTGGCATAAGGGTCGTCAGCTTTGGACCGCATCTGCTGTCTTTTAATATTCTCACTTTTATTTAAATATAGATGCTCTAGTTTCGTGCATGAATTATTATTATTCAAACCAACGGCTGCGTTGACCAGAGTAGCTGGAATATTGCTCACTCTTTTCCCTACCTGGCACATGAAATACAAGTGACTAGTCATGACTGTCGTATAGCCTCCTTTAAAACACTTATACGAACAAGGGAACATGATCATTCATATATCCAAAAGGAACAGGGAATTTGTTTTGATTTAATTTAAAGGAACAGGTGATATATATCTCTACCATTAACGGGAGCGTGGCGAAACATACTAAGGAACAATGTTAATAATTTATTAACGGGAACACGGGAGAAAATGAAAACATTTTAAGGGATCGAGAGAACATTTTTTACTAAGAACATTTTTCCTCTCGCCCCCCTTTCCCCGCTTTACTCCTCATACCGATTTCACCTTAGGAGATCCTCTGATCTGACAAGAGTTTAAAAACTCATGATGTTAGAAATAATATATGGGCTCATTAGCGGTTTTGCCAACCAGAAATTAATGTTTTGGTTTTGAAAGTCAGTATCTCCTTCAGTATTACTTCCAAAACGGGCCAGAACATTCCCCAATTACTTAACTTTACAAGCTCTTTATAATTATATGGTCGATCGGCGCAATTTGCATCTAAGCTGTATGCGAAGGAGGTAAAAGTAAACAATTCCGTCACCAAAAATATATTTAATAGTATTTTTGCTCATTTTCTTCCATGCCGTCTAATAACCTTAAAACAATGCCAAATTGCGTATCAGTTTGCCGAGAGCGATAAATTTTCGCGCCAAATGTTTACTCATAAAATAATGCGACATTCAAGACCACGCCGTTGTACTTAAGAATTTTCGGCATTTTTTAGTCGTGTAGGGGTAATTATATGTTGTAAGGCACTTTATCGCAACTTCCTTTCTTTTATTGAATGATTCGAAATTCTGATTTTTTATTAGATACACATTTTTCGTAGCGAATTCGTTCACAGAAACATCATAAACGTCCCTGAAAGCATTTTCACTTACAACTCATCCGAGCTAGTACATAATGATTTCATATATGTGTTCAATAAGGGGAGAACTCTCTGCGCTACGTTTTCAACCATGCTCGCAAAATGCTGGATAATCTTAGCTTTGCAGTTGATGCTGCTGCTGTATAAGTCATAACACGTGTTAACTTTCCCAGCATCTTCGCATATCTGATGATCCTTTGCCAGCAAAGTTACATAGTAGCGTACGCACTTCTTGTGCACTGTCACGGCACACTCTTCAAAACTGTCGAACTCTGTTAAAGAAATTAGAACACTGTTAGAGCGGTTTTCAATTGACTGTCGTAAAACCAAAACCAAAGTAATCACTCTGGCCAATCAAGGAGGACACCGACAATTCAGTGAACCAATCTAAACTCCAAGTAATTACATGTAGCTGACTGTGTGCGAACGAGTCACAACTGCTTTTGGTACGTCTTACTTCTGATTGGATGAAAAAGTGGCGCGCGTTTCTTTAAGCCAGTCGTGTAGCTTAAAAGAGTGGAACGTGCAAAACTAACACTCAAATAAAAACCTCTCTATTCATTTTTAGACTCAATCGTTCGCTTGTTTATTTGTTTGTTGGTTAATAATAATAAAAATAATGATAATAGCAATTTTTTAAAAAAAATTTTTTAATAATAATAATAATGTTTATTAGTGGCTTATAAAAAATTACAACTGTAAAAATTCTTAGGACAATATATATGCAGGGAAATACTAACTTACAAACGAATTACAAATTACACTCATTCTTTACAACCCTTATAAATTTGTCTGTTATCATTTGTCGAAAAAATTTAAATAAGAATAGTAAAAAATACTCTACACATTTAAATGGCAAAAGCTCTACTTTAAAAATACACTGTAGCTAATAATAATAGCAATAGTAATAATAATAATAATAATAATAATAATAATAATAATAATAACAATAATAATAATAATAACTTTATTTACGCGCGTGCCAACGAGACTTAGCATTGCTGCTAATTGGAGACACCTAAAACGAGTTACAATTATCAGGACTATGTATAAATTAATTTTTTAAACACATAATTATTTACCAGATAAAAACCTAGCTATCGAAAAAAAAATTACAAAAGTAAATAAAGTTACAAATAAAGTTGATTTCAGTGATTTCTGCTGACTATGGGAGTCGGAGTCTCTATATAACAAGAAAGCAAAATCGAGTGAAAAGTAAAGTTGAGCAAAGACACATTCTTTGCTCAACTAAATAATAGGAAAATTTCTAAATTCTGAGATTTATTTGCATAAGTTGAGTTAGACCAAAACATATCACCATGAGATTATGAAGTTATAAAGTGGGCATACAGGCGATCCCCCAATTCGATGTCGATATTTTTAAATACATAATTACACAGCCTCTTTAGATATAAAAAACGGAATATTCTTAAGCAAACTATATGAGCAAAGACTCCAAATGATCTTATACTTAGATATGCAGAATCATGACAAAAATTGACAGAAATTGCTGAACATTTATCATACCAACATCGTCCAGGTTACGATGAGCTTTTGCAACATCTGTTGACAAGAAAAAGAGCGAAGTCAACTTAACATATTACATATCTAAAATATTATCAGCTGAAAATGTACCCAAAAATAACTCCGAATGAAACAAATTGCTCCACTGGTCATTTACATGTATGTGTAAAGTAAGGTCAATAAAAGTGCTCTTTTATACGAAGTAAGCCCGGGGAGTTACTCCCTTATATGGGCTATATAGGTATGTGCGGTCCTAAAGGGTATGGCTTTTCAGCCATTTTGATCATAAATAGAGTATCGGTTTTGGTGATTTTGGCCATTTTGGTCATAAATAGGGCATGGTTTTTGCACTGTAGTCTTGAATTGGGTATATTTCTTAGAAGAAGCTACTTTTTCATCGGTATCGATAACACCATCAACAAGCGCCCTTCATAACATATCTTAAGGGCAGCTTTGCCAGCCGCAACGGTCTTAAATAGGGTATCGAATTTTTGGTCAGCTCATAAATAGGGTAGCAAAATTGGCAGATTTTAGTCATAAATAGGGTAACGGTTTTGAAAAGTAGGCCGCATACCCCCACCCATCTTTTCTGGGAGTAATCCCCTCCTCCCTTCCAAACTGAGAAACATGACTACATGTTTGTTTTTTTGGTTTTTTTTCCTGGAAGAAATGTTGAAACACGTAATTTCTAGCTAATAGCTAGTCTTTGGAAAAGACAAAATATTATTTTCAAGGGATACTAATTGAAGACGCTGCTTTTGATACGGTCGTCTCCACTGTTATTGTTGTATTTTGGCAGTTTTGTCTAATGCAAATCAGAACAAAATGGGAAATAAAGTACTGTTGCCGTGTTGCTATGTATAATCTTACACTATGTGCTTATGAATATTATTTTAATTCTGTATACAAGATAAAAATTATTCATTCATATACACACCAATATTTGAAAATCTGAAGGTAAAGATTCTCGAGAGTAACATCACATAGTCTGAAATGGGGCAACAAACAGCCCAAGCTAAAAGCTCTATTAACGAAAAAGATGTTAAAAGGTAACAACCAATATCAAGTTATATACACCTGTACAAAAATCACGACTTGTAAACTGATGATCATGACTTATCCAGACTATATGCGGTGTATATATTTCAGAAAAAAGTTCAAACCTGAATCTTGTACAACACTCTTCAGTGTACTGTAATCAATGTCCGTGCAGGTTCCTAAGATGTTATCCATCATTGCAATTTGTAACATCCAGTAACGCAACTTTTCAATGAGTTCACCTCCACATTTGGGTTCACTGGCAACACATGTGACCAATTTCTAGAAAGAAAACGTAACTCAATTGTGATGAGGAAATATAAAAGATACGAACGGTATAAAGCATAGTTGACATCTGCCGTTTTCTGACTATTTCCAAGATGAAATAGAGGCCAAGAGATCAATAAATACTTACAAGCATTTTGAGAAGCTAAACAGAATTTTCAGTGCATTTGCAAAATCTAATGATCTTAATCTGAGATATTCAAGGCCTAAGATTGAAAATGTTTAGGGCAGGCGTAGTTAGTACAGGGGACTGGTTATCAAACCCGGTAAACTTTATAGCGCAAAAAAATAGCGTACTCTCCGAGGTTGAAATGACCCGTCGCGTGATTCTGACCTTGCACACATCAAAATAATATGGCGGACACAGTGGACGACCTTTTCCTGTCTGGTGATAATTCGTCAAGGTGCGTCAAGATATGGTCCACATGGAAATACATTTCTGCACATTCATTGACCTGTGCTGTCTTCTCTGGAAATCTTTTTACATATTGCATACAGAAAGATAACTTCCAAAGCCGAGACCCAGTTTCAGTTTGTGTAGCTTAAATCATGACTCACATTAAAACGTTTTCACAAGACAAAACTATTTAACAGTAAATTTAAAGAATGAGATAATACTTAGGGAAAGACCATGATTCTAATATGCTGTAGAGGGAGAGGGGATGGAAAGTTTTCACCTTCAAGCAACTCTCTTTTTTTTCCTTGGTAGGTACTGCTAAAACTTTTCATTGAGAAAAATTTTTTGGAAAGGTTTTCTGCTTGTGCAGACAAAAATGTCTCAAAATTTTTCTCTGTCCCTGCAAAAAATAATGTTCTATCCCTTATATCTTTCACCACTATTGACAACATATAAAGCATGTTCCCTGGAATTTTAAAGTAAGAATTATAGCAATTTAGTATGAGTGACGTGATCCTTTGCTTTGCGTTTGTCCTTTCTACCCCAGGTGTTGCCACTCTGACACGACACTGTCCTCTAACTATGGGGCAGGGAAGCAAAAATTTGCCTCAAAGAATGTTCCATTGCAAGCAAAAGTTTAAGTGTTCTCTGGCTGGTATCGACCAACCGTGACCGCCCAACGAATCAAAGTTACCCAATAATAAACATAGGCGACATTGCCTTAATAGAGATCAAGCTGGCTCAAGCTGTCGCCAAACCATGAATCTGGTCGTCGTAATACTTTGGATGTATTCGTGCATGCAAATGTTTAGTATATTGAACTATTTTGACAGATAAGTCCTTTTTGTTCAGTTTTTTCTCATGGCTTTTGTGCTGTAACGTGAAGGACTGACAATGAACATTAAATAATGAGTATCTTTCATGGAACCTTAACCTCTTTTCTCGTCATACCTGCATCCTGAAGCAGTGGCCCCCTTCGCCTGTGGAAGTAGCATCTAGAGCATCTTGATAAACTGCTTTGCAACGGTTCAGCAAAACAATATGACACTGATCCGCCATTGCTGCAGTTGCCAAAACAACTGACACGAAGTACAAACTGTAAGCTGTTGAGCAATATCTAGCCATTTTGAAATTAAAAACCTCTCAATCGGGGTCTAGTATGAAAAGGAAAAAAAGTACAACAAAATTATCTCAAAAGTAAATATCCAAGAATGAAGTTTCGTGTTGATTAAACTAAGACTCCATTTCTAAATGAGCAGAGATAATTTTGACCGAAAATTAGTTCAGTGCTCCAAGACCTCTTTCAGACATGGTACTGAGGTTTACGTAATTGCTTCACTCGACAACTTTTAAATTCTCAAATGGCAACTATAGCCAGTGAATAGTTGTTGGAATAGATGTGACAAGCAATGTTTGAGAACTGGTTATCCGATTTGATAACAACTGGACATCGTGAACAATCAGGAAAAAATTAGTTGTAACAACCTCTCAGGGTCCACGTTTTGCTCTTTTCGTGTACGTTGTTTTCCACCTTTATATAGTACAAAGAAAAAAGAAAATAAATGTTTTTCCAATTTAATTATAATGTTTTCTCCTGGCCGAGTTTCATTTATCCTGATTGATTGCATGTCGCTCATTTTGAATGCTTATTTTTTCCACACCTGATAAATATTTCCATAGAACTTTGTAATGGAAATTTTGGATTTATTGAAGCGCGATATATACGATTTTAACGGAGGAATAATCAATAATCACAGAGAAAAAGTTTCGTCGAAAATATTTCAATTTGAATTAAAGGCAGTGGTTAAAACAGTGCCGCATCCTCAAATTACATGCCAAATTTATCATTTAACGATGTTATCGAGTATTGATAGCTAGGAATACACCACGTTTTCTAAAGCCACACTTATATAACGTAAACCTACGTTTCTACCTTTACCGTGTTTTATTTTTCGTTTTCTCTAGCAATGCATGCACATGGCGCTTAGCATTCCCCGCAAAAAAATTGCAAACGTCTGAACTTCTGAAACAACTACTTTGCACTTGTGTTTAAATAGGAAGGCAACACGTTGCTAAACTGGGTGAAAACTATGGCTTCTAAGAAACTGCTTTATAAAAAAGTTTGCGCCAAAAGCTGAAGTAGCAGTTTTTAAATTTGTGATCGAGACTATTCACAGTCATTTCCAGATCCTTACCTGTAAATCCTTCGTTGCCTCTCAGATCAGCTTCTAAAGTCAACTTGCCTGACACAAAATGATGCCACGTATTAATGCTGATATTAATATTGTGTGTCGTACCGAACTACCAAATGACAGAATGATCCCTAAGGCGATAAAAATTTCCATTTTTTATTGTATTCCTATGTCAACTGATCTTAAAATCAATAATATGCGTTTGTCAGAACAAATCACTTAAAAGGCTCTCGCCCAACCTGTTCAGGAGAACCTAATGCAAAAGCTCAAGCGGCTGATGATATAAGGACGGGCTGAAAGAACAATCAAGTTTGTTTCTTTGTTCAACAGTACTACAACGTCAACAAAGTATTTGTAGAATTTCCAAACTTTCGGCTGGATTATTACCTACTTCTTCTAATTTTTCGTTCATTTTGTTTCCTCCAGGCCAGTGTTCACTATAAAGGATTTTCTGCAGTTGTTTTTGTTGTTGTCCTCTCGTGTTTGTATAGAAAGAAACTGTGATGCCGATGAATTTTGCATTTAATTTTTAGTGCAAGACTGACAAATCAGGTGACCATTCGAGTCATTCGAGTCCAGATTCTTACCTGTATCGCCCTTTTGACTGCTGAATTCTGGCTGACCGTATTGAGTCTGGCTTGGCACGATGATACTAAGAACATTTTTCTTCTCGCCCACCCCACCACCTCCCCCTACCCCTAGCCCCCTGCACGCCTCATGCGAATTCCACCCTAAGAGATCCTCTGAACTGACGTGAGTTTAAAAACTCAAGATGGTAGAAATAATGTATGGGCTGATTAGCGGTTTTGCTGATGAGAAATGTTTCGGTGTTACTTCCAAAAAGGGTCAGAACATTCCCCAATTACTAAATTTTACAAGCTCTTTATGATTATATGGTCGGAGCAATTTGTATCTAAGCTGGATGCGAAGGAGGTAAAAGAAAACAATTACGTCACCAAAGATGTATTTAACGGTATTTTTGCTGATTTTCTTCCATGCCTTCTAATGACCTTAAAACAATACCAAATTGCGTATCACTTTGCCGAGAGCGATAAATTTTCGCGCCAAATGTTTTCTCATAAAATAGTACCACATTCAAGAATACGCCGTTGTATTTAAGAATTTTCAGTATTTTTTAGTAGTAGTAATTACATGATATAAGACACTTTATCGCCACGTCCTTTCTTTTATTGAATGATTCTAAATCTTGATTTTTTACTAGATACACAGTTTTCGTTGCGACTTCGTTCACAGAAACATCACAAACGTCCCTGAAAGTATTTTCACAACTCATCCGAGCTAGTACATAATGATTTCATATATGTCATCAATAGGTGGAGAACTCTCTGCGCTACGTTTTCAACTATGCTCGCAAAATGCTGGATAATCTTAGCTTTGCAGTTGATGCTGCTGCTGTATAAGTCATAACACGTGTTTAGTTTCCCAGCATCTTCGCATATCTGATGATCCTTTGCCAGCAAAGTTACGTAGTAACGTACGCACTTCTTGTGCACTGTGACAGCACACTCTTCAAAACTGTCGAACTCTGTTAAAAAAAAAATTAGAACATTGTTAGAACGGTTTTCAATTGACTGTCGTAAAACCAAAACCGAAGTAATCACTCTGGCCAATCACGAAGGACACAGACAATCTAGTGAACCAATCTAAACTCCAAGTAATTTCATGTTGCTAACGAGAAGCGCGGAAAAACGTGTGCTAACGGGTCACAATTGGTTTTAGCACTATGAACAAATTAACTTTTTAAATATTATAATTATTTATAAGATAAAAGCTTGTCTATCAAAATAAAAACACAAAAGTGAATGACGTTGCATATAAAGCTAACTAAGTTAAAGTTAACTAAAATGAAGAAAGTAGTCAGGCCAGCCAGCTATTTCTGCCGACTATGGGAGGCGGAGGTCTCTACATAACAAGAGAGCAAAATCGAATGAAAAGTAAACGTAATCTTACATTCAAAATTGCGAGACACATTCTTTGCTCAACCTAATCATAGGAAAATTTCCAAATTCTGAGGTTTAATGGCATAAGTTGAGTTAGACCAAGATATATCACCATGAGATTACAAAGTTATAAAGGGGGGATGCATGCGCTTCCCCAATTCGATGTGGATATTTTTAATTACATAATTATACAGCCTTTTTAGATGATACAAAACTGAATATTTTTAAGCAAACTATATGAGCGACGACTCAAAATGATCTTATAATTAGATATGTAGAATCGTGACAAAAATTGACAGAAATTGCTGAACGTCTATCTTACCAACATCGTCCAGGTTACGATGAGTTTTTGCAACATCTGTTGACAAGCAAAAGAGTTAAGAAAACTTAACAAGGTCAAAATTATTATCAGCTAAAAAGTTTGCCCAAAAATTACTCTGAATGAAACAAATTGCTCCACTGGTCATGTACATGTATGTGTGATGTACGGTTAAGAAAGGTACTTTTTTATATGAAGTAAGAGACCCAAACCGAGAAACATAAGTATACATGTTTGTTTTTTTTTTCCTGGAAGAAATTTTCAAACACGCAAAATCTAGCTAATAGCTTTTGTCTGGAAAAGACGAAATGTTATTTTCGGGGGATACAAATTAAAGACGCTGCTGATGCGGTCGTCTGTTATTGCGGTATTTTGGCTGTTTTAAATTTGTTTAATACAAATGAGAAAAAATGGGAAATGAAGTACTGTTGCCTTGTTGCTATGTATAATTACTAGATTGTAAATAATGGAGCTGAGAGAAATAATAAATAAATTCAAAAAAATAAAAAGATGAGGAAAAAATTCATTTCAAAAGAACGTAAATAAGGCTACTTTTTTGGTGTTGCAATCCCAATGGACCTTTTGTTTTCCCATAACCGACCACGTGATATTCTCTACAGAATTGTTGCTTTATCCATCTAAAAATTACTCGTTCATATACACACCACTATTTGAAAATTTGAAAGCAAGAATTCTCACGAGTATCATCACATCGTCTGAAATTGGGGAACAGACCGCCCAAGCTAAAAAGGTCTAGATCTATTAACGAAAAATATGTTAAAATATAACAACTAATATAAAGTTATATACCTGTACAAAAATCACGACTTGTAAACTGATGATCATGACTTAATTATCCAAACTATATACGGTGTATATATTTCAGAAAAAAGGTTCAAACCTGAATCTTGTACAACACTCTTCAGTGTACTGTAATCAATATCCGTGCAGGTTCCTAGGATGTTATCCATCATTGCAATTTGTAACATCCAGTAACGGAACTTCTCAATCAGTTCACCTCCACATTTGGGTTCACTGGCAACACATGTGACCATTTTCTTGAAAAACAAAACGTAATTAGATTGTCATTAGGAAATATAAACGATACGAATGGTATAAAACATAGTTGACATCTGCCGTTTTCTGATTATTTCTAAGATGAAATAGGGTCCAAGAGATTAATAAATACTTACAAGCATCTTGTTGAGCTAAAAAAAAGTCGTTAGTGCAGTTGCAATAACTAATGGTCAGATATTTAAGGCCCAATATATAGTAAAGGGGAATGGTTATCAAACCAGGTGAAACAATGACGTGCTCTCCGAGATTGAAATGACCCATCATGTGACTCTGCACACATCAAAACAACACGGCGGACACAGTGGACGACCTTTTCCTGTTTGGTGATGATTGCGAAGCGATTTTGGCCCTTTTACAAAACGATGAAGCAATCGAGGAGCAATTTGCAGCAACAGTTGGCAATGTAAGTACAATGTCTGTGAAATTGTCTGTGATCGCATGCAGCGATCGAAAAGAGCCACGCGTCTATTCGATTCACGATATAAAATAACAACAAACACGACATAGACAAGGAGGCTAGTCCAAAGTTCATCCTTCCGAGATATTATCGAGCTAGACAACAAAACCAGACGTAAATGCTTGAAACTAAGCTTAGAGGTGGACTATATTGCGAACTGATCGTGAAAACAGTTAGATCTATCACATCAGCAGGATCATTTACAAAGTTATGTTTCTTATTGTAAGTCGTAAGTCAACACTAAGGCAATTCGCTGTTGTCATCGTCATAGGCTCAATCGGCAGATGTTGTTTGCAGCGACTGTGGAAAGCAATATAAGACAAGAGGGGGCTACCAAAGTCACAGGGCTGCTAAACGCAATCCTACTGAAAACGAGAGACAGGAACAGGCGACTCTAACACCGAACTTTCTTGCTGAAATAGTGCACAACGCTATACGAAACGGAAACAAAACATAGGCTTTCGCCTCAAGTCTGAGGAATGAGTTGAACTTGTACAGATACGAACAACCTTATGAAGGTACTGAAGAATCCTCTGAGCTGAAAACAATATTTGAAGGATATTTGAAAAATGGAGATACTTAAGATTTATCTTAAGTATTATGCTCAAGTTCCGTTGAACTCTACAAAGTCTTTTACAGGATTATCCCGAAATGCTGCAACATTATTAGCAACTAAGGTGGCTGATAGTGTGCTAGCATACTGCAAGCGTATGAAGTTCTCCACTAACAACAATATTGATCAACCCTCAGAAACTGTATTGTCAGAGAAAGAGATGGCTGGTCTTCAGTGTGTGGGAGGTTATGTATTGCACAATCTGCAGAGGCACAGCAAAGGCAAAGCACAGGCAAAGCAGCAACAACCGAAAGCCAGCAGGCTATGGCTATCGTGAAAGCTGGAAAATTGGAAGCTGTGTGTTTTGGTGTCAAGTCTGAGCCGTGGAGGTCTTTGGTATATAAGTGAGCCAACACAAAAGATTTTCATCAAACCAGAACATTATTTTAGACAGTTTACTTCCATGTTTAGTTTGCGAAGGATATATGTCCACATACATTTCTGCACATGCATTGACCTGTGCTGTCTTCTCTTAAAATCTATTTACATATTGTATGCAGAAAGATAACTCCCAAAACTGAGACCCTCTGTCCCTGCAAAAGAATAATGGTCTATCTCTTATATCTTCCACTAACATTGATAACATCTAAAGCAAACCCTGGAATTTTAAAGTAAGAATTAATTAATTTTCCTTTTTTTCCTGCATGGTAATTTAGTATCAGTGACCTGATCCCATGCTTCGGGTTTGTCATTTCTACCCCAGGTGTTGCCACTCTGACACAACACTGTCCTCTAATTATAGGGAAGGAAAGCAAAAATTGGACTGAAAGATTGTTTCATTGCAAGCAAAAGTTTAACTGAGTATTCCATGGCTGGTATCGAATAACCGTGACCGCCCCACAAATCAAAGTTACCTAACACTAAACATAGGCGACATCGCCTTAATAGAGATCAAGCTGGTTCAAGCTGTCGCCAAACCATGAATCTGGACGTCGATACATTTTGGAAATATTCGTGCATGCAATTGTTTAGTATGCTGAAATATTTGATAGATAAGTCCTTTTTGTTCAGTTTTTGTTTTTAATTCTCATGATTTTTGTGCTGTAAAGTGAAGAAAACAGTGAATCAATCAATCAATCAATCAATTAATCTTTATTTAAACACGAAAATCATTTTTATCTATCTTTAAACAGCTGGCTCATTCAGGGATAGTTCTATCCATGAAAGATACTCATCAAATGATGGCTATCTTTCATGGAACCTTAAAAGTGCCTATGAAGTAAAAAATAATTGCTGCTTTTTTCAAAGTCTTTTCAAAGTAAAGAGGAATGGCGTTTTCCTCTTTGGAATATCGTTTTTCGGTTTGGAAATATTCACGTTTTTGTATTATGCAAATGAGGAAAGTCATGATGTCATAGGTGGTTCCACTAAAACAGCACAACACTCAATCGAGAATATTTCTAGAAATATTGAAGCAGTATTCTTTGAACTTGTACCAGCAATGTACATCACAAACGAAACAGAATGACACCTACTATGTTGTTGCCGTGGCAACATTCTTGGCTCCAGTCTCTTTCTGTGAAAAAACAAATATCCCTATTTGTAACCTTTCAAAGTGGGACAGAGGGTCTTGCTCGGAACACACATGGTTCTCATATTGTCTTGACTCTCCCCATTAGATTGTTGGGAGTGGATGATCCTTGTTTAAGATAAAATCTGGGAATTTTAGTCTTAATTAAAACAGAACCAGAAGCATAACTGTTGTCATGGCAACGGAATGACGGATGTTATTTTGTTCCTTTTGTGATGTTCATTTCTGGTGCCAAGTTTAAAGAACACTATTTTAATAATTCTAGAGTTATTCACGATTGAGTGTTGTGCTGTTTTAGTGGAACCACCTACTGTGACGTTATCACTTTGCTCATTTGCATAATACAAAAACGTAAATTTCTCTAAAACAAAAAAAGATATTCCAGAAAGGACAATGCCATTCTTCTTTACTTTGAAAAGTCTTTCAAATAGGCGCAATTATTTTTTACTTCATAGGCACTTTAACCTCTTTTCTCGTCATACCTGCACCCTGAAGCAGTGGCCCCCTTCGCCTGTAGAAGTAGCATCTAGAGCATCTTGGTAAACTGCTCTGCAACGGTTCAGCAAAACAATCTGACATCGATTCGCCATTGCAGTTGCCAAAACAACCGACACGAAGAACAAACTGTAAGCTGTTGAGCAATATCTAGCCATTTTGATATTAAAAACCTCTCAATCGGGGTCTAGTAAGAAAGAGAAAAAGTACAACAAAATTATCTAAAAAGTAAATATCCCAGAAAAAAGTTTGCTGATACCAAGACTCCATTTCTAAATGAGAAGAGATAATTTTGACCGAAAATTAGTTCAGTGCTCTAAGAACTTAGTGTCCTTCAGACGTGGCACTGAGGTTTACGTAATTGCTTTACTCGACAACTTTTAAAATCTCAAATGGCAATTACAGCTAGTGATTAATTGTCGGAATAGATGTCACAAGCAATGTTTGAAAACCAAACACAAATTCGAACTGGTTATCTGATTTCATAACAAGTGGCAACTGTGCACGCCAATCAGAAAAAAAATAGCTGTAAAAAGCTCTCAGAAGTCCATGTTTTACTCTTTTCGTGTACGTCGTTTTCCACCTTTATAGTTCAAAGAAAAAAGAAAAGAAATGTTTTTGCAATTCAATTGTATTGTTCTGTTTTGGCCGGGTTTCATTTATCCTGATTTTATCTCGCTTATTTTTCTTGCTAATTTTTTCCACACTTGATAAATATTTCGATAGAGCTTTGTAATGGAAATTTTGGATTTATCGAAGCGCTATATATACGATAACTTTTGAAATAAATCTTAATAATAATTTATCATTAATAAAGGATGAAAATATCCATCTCTAAATTATGAAAGAGTTCTCGCTATGGCGAAAGAGAGGTAAACGTTTCGATTAGATTTTGACGGAGGAATGATCAATAATCAAAGAGAAAAAGTTTCGTTGAAAATATTTCAACTTGAATTAAAGGCATTTGTTAAAACAGTGCCGCATCCTCAAATTACATTCCAAATTTATCATTTAACGATGTTATCGAGTATTGATAGCTAGGAATATACCGCGTTTTTTAACGCCACACATATATAACGTAAACCCACGTTTCAACTTTTACCGCTTTCTAGTTTTCGTCTTCTCTAGCAGTGCATGCACATGGCGCTTAGCATTCCCGGTAATAAAATAGCAAACGTTTGCGCGCCTGAAACAACTACTTTGTACTTGTGTTTGAATAGAAAGGCAACACGTTGCGAAACTGAATAAAAACAATGGCTTCTAAGAAACTGCTTTATAAAAAAGAATGCACCAAAAGCTGAAGTAGCAGTTTGTAAATTTGTGAGACTATTCACAGTCATTTCCAGATCCTTACCTGTAAATCCTTCGTTGCCTCTCAGATCAGCTTCTAAAGTCAACTTGCCTGACACAAGGTAATGCCACGTATTAATGCTGATATTTATATTGTGTGTCCTACCCAGCTACCAAAGGACAGAATGATCACTAAGACGATAAAAATTTCCATTTTTAGCATATTCCTATCTCACCTGATCTTAAAATCAAAAATCCGCGTTTGTCAGAATAATTCACTTAAAAGGCTATCGCCCACCCAAGGTCAAAGGAACCTAATGCAAAAGCCCAAGCAGCTGATGATATAAGGACTGGCTGAAAGAACAATCAGGTTTGTTTCTTTGTTCAACAGCACTACAACGTCAACAAAGTATTTGTAGACTTTCCAACTATCGGTTGGATTATTACCTACTTCTTCTACTTTTTGGTTCATTGTGTTTCATTTAGTGTTCTTGTTGAAGGATTTTCTGCAGGTGTTTTTGTTGTTGCCCTCCCCAGTGTCTCTCCCCACCCAGTGCCTCTATCCACCCAGGCGAACTTAATCCTGGGGGTAACCCTGCGATGGACTAGCATCCCATTCAGGGGGGAGTAGAAATACCCCTAGTCGCTTCATGCTACTGAAACCGGGATAAGCACCGGCCTGCTACAACGTCAACAAAGTATTTGTAGACTTTCCAACTATCGGTTGGATTATTACCTACTTCCTACTTTTTAGTTCATTGTGTTTCATTTAGTGTTCTCATTAAAGGATTTTCCGCAGGTGTTTTTGTTTTTGCCCTTTCGTGTTTGTATAGAAAGAAACTGCGATGCCGATGATTGTTACATTTAATTCTTTGTACAAGAGGCGCGGTGGCCTCGTGGTTAGTGCGCTCGTCTCCGAATCGAGCGGTCCGTGTTCGAGCCCTGGCCAGAGACATTACGTTGTGTTCTTGGGCAAGACGCTTGACTCTCCGGCTGTGCCTCTCTCCACCCAGGTGTATAAATGGGTACTGGCAAACTTAAAGCTGGTGGTGTTCCTGCGATGGACTAGCATCCCATCCAGGGGAGTAGAAGTACTCCTAGTCACTTCATACTACAGAAACCGGGATAAGCGCCGGCCTGATGGGCCACTTGGCTCGTACGCAGTCTTAGCCTACCTTACAAGATTGACCAATCAGGTGGTCATTCGAGTCATGCAAGTCCAGATTCTTACCTGTATCGCCCTTTTGGCTGCTGAATTCTGGCTGACCGTACTGAGTCTGGCTTGGCACGATGACCTCTACAAAGTATCCAATGTATATATCGGAGACACCAAAGCGAAAAGAGTTTCTACTGGTGAGAAGGTTTTCCTGTCGCAGTCAAATTAATATCTCATGAATATCAGAATCAATACTGAAGGTTTGCTGAGGTAATTCACACAATGGGCTATCTTCGATTCATTCACGGTCAATTGTTTTTGGGATCAGGTATCCGATTGACAAAAGGGCTGATGAGCCACCAATTTTGACCGAAAGGAAACTCAAGTTCCTTTGTCTTTTTAACGTGTTAATAATAACTGAGTTTACCTGAAACGTGGCATAAGGGTCCTCAGCTTTGGCCGCATCCGCTGTCTTTTAATAATTTCACTCTTATTTAAATACAGATGCGTTAGTTTCGTGCATGAATTATTATTCAAACCAACGCCTGCTTTGACCAGAGTAGCTGGAGTATTTATCGCTCTTTTCCGTACCTGACACTTGAAATTCTTTTTTCTTTCTTTTCTTTTGAAGCCTAAAAACGATTGAAAACGCGGTGTTCTTTAGAAACCAAAAGATTAACAGGGGAAACCCAATATAATATGGATACAAATTCAGGTGATCGCACATATATGGCAAAATTTAATTTGCCTTAAGAGGAGGAAATAAAACAAAGTAACAAGACAAGCGAACAAGGAAGATGTACGTATCTAAATGAGAAATCTAATAACAGTGTGAGATAACTTCCGTCACGATCCCACGCAGCTTGTGTGCAAAGGTCGATCACATTTTCTCTATCCTTCTTTTGTGCTTGAATGAATCAAGTAGATTTTGTTTTAAAGCACCAAAGACTTGGGATTCTCAACGGCGGTCCCTTGAAATGGGGTGGGGGGGGGGGGGAGGTATTTCAGCTATCAAAATGATTAGCCACTTTTTCCAGTTCTCCGTAGACAAATGGCTGGCGTAGTTATTGATCTCACACAACTGATTTTGATTTTTTAGTAATATCTGTTCTTGATGAAGGCGAGTGTAGTGCGAGTTGAGCTAGTTTGCTTTTAAAAATTGTCGAAATCGCCATTTTCTGTCCAATCTCTAAAGGCTTAAAATTTAGCATCCTCCTCCAAAAAATACCCTAGCTACATGCTTGAATATGTTCTGGAGCGTACCATTGCTGCCTGTCAAAGTTGTATACTACCATTGGTTCGTACGCTTAACGGTCGAACTTAAAATAAGAACCAAGTCATACGTCCTTGGATGCCCAACACCCCCTAAACAATGCCTCCTAAACTCCGCGTTTGATAATTCGCCTCCACATGCAGTACAACTAGTTGGGCAAATCCCGTTACCATTAGTCTATAAATTGAATTTAGGCGCCAAATTAAGCAAGGGTGGTTGGTTAGTTGACGTTAAGATGGTTGGTCAGTTGGTAGGCTGGCAGGCTGGCTGGCTGGCTGGCTGTCTGGCTGGTTGTTTGTTTGTTTGGTTGGTTTGTTGGTTATTTAGGTGGCTGACTGGTTGGCTGTTTAGTTGTTGCTTTCTTACCTGCCTTTTGACTACTCTACTTTCTTGACTGAATAACCAAAAGCCCGACAGCATCGAAAAATTTTTATTTATTACATGTTTTATTGTTATTTGTGGCTAGTTGGCTAAATACATGATATATCTCTCATGCGTCAAGCGATCTACTATTAACTGTTTATATCGAGCAGCGAAAAGGTACATGTCTGAATATGACCGAATAAAGATTGTGCTTAATATACCATTTTAGTTTCCACAAATCTCAGGCTTTTGTTTAAATTGCCAGTGACATATAATCTTAATTTACTAAGACCGTTACATTGGTGATTTTCCGTCTTAAATTAAGACATCGTCAATTTGATATACATATAATATACTGACACATACATACATCAGGCAATGTGAAAAGTCGCAGTACAGGGACCATTTAATTTATCTCTTCTAATTTACTATTAAGCTACCATATTTCTCTTACATAACGTAAGTAATAAAGTAAGTAATGGACTTTTCTTTAATGTCTTAAACCTGCTTTCTTCTCCCTTGGGTATTGTTGGATGATTTTAGGGGGCCTCGATGGAAGTGCTGAAATCTCAGTTATTAGTTAAGTTTTCAACCATTGCAGGTCTCTAACGTATATTCCTTTACGAATCTAAAAATTATCACGAAATCAAATCATCGCTAAGTTTCCTTGATTTATGAATTGCCCCTCTCGGTTCCTCTAAAACTTGATTAGTTTGCTTAGGATGTAATTTCGATGACTAAACCTTCCGACAAAAAGTTCGGTGGACTAGGACCCCCGTATTAAAGAAAGAATATGTTAAAAGTTTGTTTGTGTTCAGACTATAAACGTGTATCGTACACGTCATCAGAGTCACTGGTCTTCTCCTTGGAAAGATGGCGAAAATAACCCTTGATGCCTCCTCGGTTTGGATCGCGTTCAAGAGTTGAGGACCCGGGCCACTGCTTTATCTTCTTCGTAGGAATTCGGCGATTTCCCGTTTTCCTGCATCTGATAAGGAGGTCTTTGAGACCTTTGCGAAAGTTTTCGTTGAAAATGAGATATATGCACGGATTGATAGCACTGTTGGCATGGGATGGCACGAAAAGTGTCAAGGTCAGAGATATGGGCCAGCAGAGAATCTTTTCGTAGGAGAACGCAGTCGTCAAAGACACCACGTGAGTTGGAAGCCAACAAAACGCAAAAAGAAGCACGACTGTGACAAGCATCTTTATTACAGTGACGTTTTGATGCTGAATGCGAATCTGTGACATGTTTTCCCCAAAAGCCTGCCGCCTCTTTAGAACGCGAATAATTAGAGAGTACAGGGCAGCCATCAAAAAGAGAGGGATGACGTACATGAAGATAAACCTTGTCACCGTCTCGTACTGGTACATCCTGAAGTTCTTTGCCCCGTCATCCATGACCCAAACACCATGACAATGATGCCTCCCGTCTTCCTTTAGAAGTGTTTTATACTTGATAAGGTACGTCGACATCAGGAGAGATGCAAGCAACCACAGTGAAACCACAGCCAGTTTAACCTTCCTCCTAGAAAGGGGTTCCCTTAAGACGTGAACGATCGCCAAGTATCTGTCAACAGAGATCGCTGCCAGAGTGAAAACAGATGCTGCCAACGAGAGATTATTGAGAAAGTGTAGAATTTTGCAGCTGATGTCGCCAAGTAATCCCCCGAACCAGAGGGGCCCATTATGAAAATAAATCACCGTCAGTGGTACAGCAATGAGAGCATCCATTATGTCAGCTGTTGCCATGGAGATGATGAAAAAATTGAAGGCCACTTTTCGAATTCTCCTCTTTGTTTTGGCTATCAAAATTATGGCACAGTTCCCGAAGAGGGCAATAATAAACACAACAGCATAAGCGACGGTTAAACCCAGTTTGGTAGCAATGTTTCGTGAGGCTAGTGTACAGGAAAGGGTAACGTTCCCACCGGTTGATGAAGAGATGTTCATTTCTGCAATACAAAATAAACTGAAGTTAAAGTACATTATTCAAATGTGATTTTGTGGCATGTAACTTGGTTCATAATTGTCACTCTCGAAACACGGTTCGAAATTATTGAGACAGACCTCCTTCCGGTAATTTCCTTTGGAGGACAGACAAGAAATATGTCTCTGACATGCAAATTTGACCCTGCTAGTGAGCCACAATTCTTTCAACATTTTGACCTGTCACAGTTTACTCTGGTTGAGGTAAAAAAAAAGACACACAGCCGTGGGTAAATAACCGAAACAATTAGCAGATTAACAAATATAGATACATATTCTTTTGTGGCGTCTTACAAATTCGTGCTGGCTCCACCACCTTTTATAGCCCCCCTGCATACAGCCACTTCCCGGAGACACATTCTAATGGCGTTGTTTTCTTTATATCACGCCAGTCGTTCAAAATAATTGGTCTCGAATTTGTTCAAATGAAACTGTGACAGTCATGCCTCTCAGGGTATCAGACTTCGACTAATTTGTCTCCCTTTGATATATCTTACATAGTAACAATAGTGTTATTTTTTTAAGGCACAAAATATATGATGAATATAAAAGTTTTGATCTTTTTTAGGAGAATAAATGAATCCTTTACCTACTTCTAACAATTTAGGTTACAAAATGAAATTTTCATTAGTGTAGAGGCCGAGTGAACCATTTTTGGACAAGCTGTATCATTTTTTATTACTAAAATCTTGATCTTTATAAAACAGAATTACATAACAGATTTTTTTTTGTCTAGTTAAAATAACATTATTTTACAACTTAAGTCTAAGATTTGAAAAGGAATTCTTTTTTAGGATTTTTCGCAGTTTAACGTGTACGAGACGACAGAACAAGGGCTTGAGTCGAGAGTTCGAGGGCAGCTATCATAGATCCTCAACTTGCGTCAGTAAAGCACTGACTCTATTAATTCTCATTGTACCTATCTGTTTTCCCACCCTGGTGTACAAACGAGTATCGGAAAATCAGGAAACCTAACACATTCAAACATTTGGGTGGGAAAGTGTGGGTCGCCCAAACCCAGGCACTTCATTCAACAGAAACATGTCCATGTGGGTAATCAATTCAGCTTCTCAGATCTTCTCGGATTTAAACGCAAAAAAATGGTGAAATGTGAAATCATGGGCAACATTTGTTATAGTAATTCAGTACATCTCACCCTCTTGACAAGGTAAATATCGCTGAAACGAATATACGTACGCTATACGCATTGTACGCGTTGAAATAATGGCAAACAGGAACTAGTCAGTATGTACAGTGGCCGTTTAACGAAAACAAATTGTCACTCGAGTACACGACCACCGCTAGTCAATAGCCGATAGCGTCGAGCGTTGTGAAAGAACAACAACCTTGTTTTTAGTTACAGAAAATTAACTCTCGTTTCTTAGAGCTTAGAAATTTTGCTTTTAAATAATAATTTTGACACAGAAAAAATTTCTTACCGAGAAAAAATCACACCAGCGTCTTCAACTGTTTCTCTAGCCAAATTGAATAGAGTCTCACTCCGTTGTGCATCAGGGAGGAAATGCGATTTTTCAGAAGAAAAGGAAAGCTTTATAATTAATCTTAATTAAGAATGTGTAATAACAATGAATTTAATTAGGAAGAAAGAAATAGAAACAGCACATGAAAAGAAAACCGAACATATGAATAATGCCTTGCCGCTGCCGGTCAATCCCCGGCCGCTATTATTGCTTTTTATTTCACATGAAACTTGAAAACTAATTCTTCTTTTTGTTTCTAGTGTTTGAAACTTTTTCGTGCAAGATGTAATCAACACATTTACAAAGCATTACCACGTTTCAAAGTAATGACTCATTTGGGAACGAAGAGCACTACTAGTACTTTAAAAAGTGGTTTTTGCTCGCACAACTAATTACAATTTTTTGCGTCGTTCCTTTAGTATGTTTATTGGACTTTTTTCATATAATTAAACTTTTCGAATTTAGTCACGATGTAGGTAAAAGTCGTTGCGCACTTGAATAAAGGCTGCAAACCGTAACACGTTTTTAATTCTGGGCAAACATTCAAGTAGGAAGTGGAAATTGTCGTAAGTTATGACCTCTTCTCCGTGACTTAAAAGTAATTCATTAAATATTAACTTCAGGGAATAGACCGCAACACTTTTTATGATAGCAATTTTTTTCCCCAAAGGAAAATAAAACAGGGGTATATGTGTCCGCGGTAACGGAAACTTTAAATCAAAATGCAATTTTTAGAGATTTTTTTTTACCGACTAATACAGCTTCTAAAAGGAATTATTCAATAAAACTTATTTCTAGAGTAGTTCAGAAGAGATTCCAGTTGCTTTTGACTAAATTGTGGACATTCAGCACGCGAACTTTTAAGAGCAGTCGAGTTACTTAGAGAATAATGAATTACTGAGAAAATCTTTTTGTAAAATTATACATTAATTTTTTTTTTTTTTTTTGAAAAACACTGTTGGTGTTGCATGCTGGCTGCATATTAATACATTGCGCTTTTTAGATGACATTTTCTACATCAGTACACACACAGTACATACGGAGATCGAGAAAGTTCGAAATATCAGTTTCGCTGTGAAAGTAATAGAAGATGTAATTCAATTTAGATGGTTTTCCTTTGTCATTTTCTTTCAAAATTAAAATGGCAATCAGTTTGCCAACTGAAAACAAAAGGACGGTGAAAACTGCACTGGCATAACACGAGAAAGCGTAAACTTTGATAAGAAAGCACGTCATCGTTTACGTGTGTCGCTGTTCACTTTATTTTATGATATTTAATTTCCTTTTATTGGCGACTGAATCAACTGTAGAACAACACCTCTGAGTTTGACAAGTCAGTTTCCTTTGAATATAATTCATATTGAGAAACTTTTATGGTCTTTATACAGGTTTGTCATTGAATAGATGGTATTTCCCAGAAAGTAGGTTCTTTTCAAAGACTGCTTAAGGCGTGCTTTATAATCCAGCTATCTGACACGTATAAATAGGAGACAAGCGTTATATACAATGCATTAACGAATGTAAACCAAATTGCGGAAGACGACAAAACCCTTGACCTAAATTTAGACAATTCAATATGTCTTCCTGTATGTAATATGGTATAGCAACAACATATATTGCTGGCAACTAATTAACGCAACAGAATTTAATTTTCCTGACTTCTCCCTCCCCTCCCTTCAAACCAATTTAAAGAAAAAGAAAAGAAAGCCAAGCCTTTTAATTATCAATGAAGTATTTTACATGTGTGTATGTATTCCAGTTCCTTACATTAAAAGGACAGTGTATTTTTCGCCATATTTTAAGCCAAAATAAAATTGTCAAACACATAGACAAAATATGTCAAAATTGTTCCTGTTAAGGCGTCAAAGCGACCATGAAAGAAAACGGGTGGAATAAATACCCTTTGTGGACTTAAAGTGCACATAGAATTAATTAATTCATATGCAAAGCTAACATTTTGACTGGGCTTTCAAACTTCGTTCTCAGCTCTTTTTTCACCTCAAATGAGACTGACTGACGGACTGACTAAAAAAACTTAAAAGATATTGCTTCGGATCGATATCGATGGTTCAGAGCATTAAAGCTTTTTGAAACACCACAATTCCAACAGGTTCCAACAAGTTCCAACAGGTCATGTCATTAACATGACTGAATACTTTCCTGCATCAATGTGCCCATTTACCACGGTAAGTTTTTTACAAAACTTGGGACTTACACAACGAATCGTTTCTTCGAAAGTAATTCTAACACGATAAATATTTCATGGAGAAAAAATGTTTAATTATTTCAAACACACGGTTTAGATTTAAGAAATCTCACTGATAGTTTATCCTGACTTTGAATAGGTACGAGGAACACTGGATGGGAGATAGTGTCCTTGGTTTCTCTTCTTGATAGTTTGATCATGTCAACAGAGAACAGAACCCCAAAACAAAAACTAGCATTTTGCTATATAGTAAGTAAGAACGATTTTTTTTGAGAAATCACAATTAAACCTATTTGGCATAATTTCGAAAAAGAGACATAAATAAAGCTGTGACGTTAGTACAATTCGTTGCTTATGCTCAGTGATTAATTAAAATATTTTGATTTTCTTTTCCTGTTGATGCGTTTTTTGAAGCAAACAAAAACAGTTTTCCGCGAAATTGAGATAACACTTTTTAGAGTCCCCAACTAGATTTTTAAACCATGCGACTTGTGTTTGTTAATGAAGATTTACTGTCCATCTTAGGCTCTCTGAAATTGATTATATAAGTTATTAGGTTTCATTCAAAAGTTGTTTCTTACAATACAAACGTTTCTTTCCATGTTAGTTGAAATAAACTGTTGTGATGTACATAAAAGCATTATTTCATAGTTGACTAGATTCTTTATTATTCTATTGGCTAATATCATGTATGGTGGTCATTTTTGGAAACAACAGAGTCCAAGGGTTCAAGTTCAATAAGTTCATTTATTCACTCTACAGTATTTCTGTTATAATAAAGTGTTTTTAGTTACAAAAACAAAAGCAAGAGAAAACAAATGCAAAACTACATTTGACAAGAAAGAAGTGTGCAGGCAATGGCCAAAGGAGCCAAAGGAGCCAAAGTTCTCTATAGTGCAGTGCCACAGTGAAATTACTGAGGAAGAGAAGAAAATGTACAAAATATGTACGTTCAGTCAAAGCAGGGTTGAGAATTAACGTAATGTCGTCTTAAGGTCTTAAGTTAACGGGCAAGTCGTTTGTCTGAACAAACTTACTCGACAAGAGTCAAGCTTTAGCTCACCTGCAATCCGTCTCTTACTTTTGCAATGAACTTACTTTTGGTGGGAAAGATGCTTTTCTCAGCTACCAGTAAACTGTCAGAACCTGCTTGCCTTTCGATTCTGTGATAAAACAACACATTTCTAAATTATGTCAACAACCGAAATTTGACAGGATTATGCAAAATGCCCACACTAAAAATGTTTAAGATTTTAATCTGGCATTCAAATTCGATAACAGCGTTCCTCAAATTAATTTGTCCTCCAACATTTCTCTTTTTGTTTCATATATGCTATTTTTCAAATCTTCAAGTTGTTACCTTTTTTGTAGATTTGATTACAATCGACTGAAACTTGTCTACTAGGCAAAAATTTGCATTTAAGAGTTGTATTTTTAGTAAAACGCGAGAACAAAAGGCAACACCACAGTTATGAACGGGTGCAGAAAATTAAACCCAAGCAACTAATAGAAATTCTAAATGGGAAAAATGTGAAGGTGAAACGTATGATACTTGGACTAGCTAATATGCTGAAGACTTTTCTCTACGATTTTCTTTCATCATAGAATCCTTTTGTTCCGAATAATATCAAGTTATTATCTACCTCTATCAGCGTGAATTCTCAGTAATCAAAAAATGTTCAGAGTCTCTTCTAGCTCAATGAGCTAGCTCATCTTACTAAATCTCCCGGTCGAAAAAGTGACCAGAAAGGAGAGCGAATTAAGAAGAGCCAAGATAGGTAAGCATTTTGTTGAGTCAAC